CTATGCAATTTATGAAAACTATGCAGCCCATTCAGCAACTGAAGAATTTGAAAGTAAATTAAAACAAAATATAATTTTACATTAAATAAAAAAGTTTTAAACTTAATTAAAATAAAACATGTCTTAAATTACAATAAGTAAACTGTCATGTTTATTGCTGCCAAAAAAAAGTTGAACACATTTGGACAGTGAAGGAATGTCAGGATTCTTGCTCAGAAAAAGGATCAACATGCTCTGAAGTCAGAGCACAAAAACCTTTTTTGTAACAAAATATCGATTTCTGCTGTCCCTGTATTGATACATTATTAGCAAACAAAATATCACGATACGACACAGAATCGATTTCCCCCCCCCACCCCTAGTAAATGTAGAGTAGGAGGAACTCATGTACCACAACAGACTGCTGGGATTGTATAAAAATGTGAGTCAGGAAGCGCAGGAGGAAGAAGCACACCACAGAGTTACTCACCAGAGTTTATAGAAACTTGTGTTAGAGTGTGGATATACTTTCGTATTTGCTCGCCTGCTTTCACAGCCATATGAACTTAAGTGGCATCCTATTCTTTTTCCATAGGGTTAAATATGATATCGACTCACCCTTTGCAGCCATAAAAGCTTCAGCTCTTCTGAGAAGGCTTTAATAAAAGTTTAGGAGTGTGTTTTTGCACCAGTCTTCCAGAAGCACATTTGTGAGGTCAGACACTGACGTTGAATGAGAGGGCGCGGCTCGCGGTCTTTACTCTAATAATTAGAGTAAAGACTGCTGCTATGGCTGCTATGGCTGATAGTAGCCGTTTGCATACTATGCATACTCTCTCCCTCTTCATATGTGTGTGTGTACAACAGTTTTACGTTAATGTGCAATCCTTAATATGTTTTGTCTGTGTGTGTGTGTGGGGGGGGGAGTGTTCGCACAGGGCGCCAAACAGGCTAGGACCGCCACTGTCTGGAAGGGTGGTGTCTCAGGGGTCTGTGGTTGTTGTGGTTCCCCTGTAGTTTGTGACAGCTTTAATTCCCTGTGCGTGTTGTTGTTGAGGTAGTAGCCTTCAAATTGTTGTGAGTGGGCCCGCTTTGCTGCTCTGATGCAGTTCGTAGTGGGCTCTCTTATACTCTGCCTGATCTCCTGCCTTGATTCGTTTTAAATTTCGATAGAACACTAAGTCACAGTTGGGTAATGATGTGCAAAACTCTGTATTTGTTGTCTGACCACAGCAGCATTTTTCCTGAGTGCAAAAACAAGAAACAACAGTTGTGCCCCTTTGAGGAATATGGCTCATTTGAAGTGCTGCTAACAGTTGCAGGAAGACGTGTCTGTAACAAAGTAAAAAAAAGGAAAAGATTTCTGAACATTGCATGAAACACAAAACATTTCACTCCAAAACTCCTACTTTTTTTTAAGACCTGGCAACCCTTTTTTGACCATGTTCAGACTTTGCGGTCTCGCAATGCTCCCAATTAGCCAGGTCAGAGTTTATTATATTTTATTTTATCTTATGTTTAAGTAAGATGTTTAAGTTTAAGTATATGGACTCTGTTGTGCCTGCGCCTTATGATGGCATTTACTTACCTATTTTATACATATTTCTTTTCTCTTACAGAATTGACTTATCTCTACAACTAAGCTGACCACTCATTATGTTTGTGTTTTGTTTTTTTGTTTTTTTGTTTTTTCTTGGTTTGTGTGTTTTGTTTTTTCTGTGCCTGTGTGGGGGTGTGGGCTTTGAAACTCTCCACATCTCTCTTGTACACTCAGGAACTGTTATCTTGTACTCCAGGGTTTGCTACTCGTATTATTAGATTGGACCCTTTCTTTTTTCTTTTTGTACACCCACTGGTACTCCTATAATTATGAGGTGGGAGTGTATGTTTCATATTGTTTTATGTTCTTCAAAAAGAAAACGGCATATTGTTCAATTTGTCTTTTGTAAAAATGGATGTAGAAACTTTAATAAAAATATCTGAGGAAAAAAAAACAAAAAACAAAAAACAAAAAAACTCCTACTTCCAGCATACATCACTCCCTCCATCAATGCAACAACTGATACAAAAGTAATAGCCTATAATTAATTTATCTGCTGTTTCTCTCAGGTAGTTGTTTACATTATATAATTTTTTGTGTTCAGTATACGTCACTACAATGTGATTTCAGAAATATATAAATATAGGGACAACAGGCTCTTCTGCAGCAGGCTCTTGTCATCAATTACCAACGTTTAGGGTGCTCTATAGTATACAATAAGAGTACCCTGCAAGTTAATTCATGACGCGAGAGGAGTACCCGGCGTGTTGATAAGTGAAGCAGAGGGACCCTGACCAAGAGTCCATATTTGAAGAGTTAGGAGTGATAACGTGTTGTAGGGACAGAACATAGACACCTTTGTAAATTGAGAGCTTTGCCTTTTGGCTCAGTTGTTTCTTTATCATAACAGTGATACCTCCACATTACTGTGGAATCCGACCTCCAACTCCTGCTACATCCTACCATCACTTGTAAAGAAGCATCACAAACTAGACACAATTTCATCCATAAAAACCACAAACAGAATTGGTGACAAGGGCCAGCCCAGGCATAGCTTAACCTGCCCTGGGAACAAGCACCGCATTGTGCCAAGAACGCAGACACAGCTCTCGCTTTGGGCATACAAAGCTTTTTTGCATTTTGTTTTTTGGGGTGATATGCAGAACCAGTCTTTCTTCAAACATGATGTGCACAATGACATCAAAAAGTTCTGCTTTGAACATGTACGTAAAGGTCAATTCCACTTCTGGATTATAGCTTAAATGGCACTAACTGGTAGCAATAAAGATTGCCATTAGGATGTTTTGCAACAGTAAGATTTTTTGTGTTTGTTTGTTTGTTTTTTCGTTTTACCTTCAAGTGTTTTTCCAGGGCATAATGCCAAAGCAGAGGTGGCCTCCTAAGCCTTATAGCCACGCTGATTGTGAGATTTTCCATTTGTAATGTATGGCCTGGGGATGTTTTTTGCCATACCATTAAAAAAAAAAATCAAATGCAGATGTGTATGTATAATCAAACAAAATAATTACATCATAGTTGTATTATTAGTGAGGGTTGTGCAGTTTGAACCTCAAGAGTTACAGAGTACTGCTACATAGACAGGGGTCTAGTGCTGTCATTTATTTTTGAAATTAATTTAGTTTCATTCATTTAAAGATTTTTGGATTTCTCTTCCACTCAGATTTAAAAAAAAAAATCTCACTACAATCCTTTTTCTGCACAACACACTTTAACTTTCTGGGGAGAAAAACACTAAAATCAAGTACCAGCTGAAATATGAAGTATAAGTCCTCCTACTGATTAGCCAAATTCTACGTCTTTGCACAGTTGTCTAGAGGTTTCAGAGAACTACCTAAAACAGTGTCAGCCTTCATTACCAAAGCTGCTACTGTCACGGTCTGCCAGGGCAAGCCGTGGGGATGTTGGAGAAAGGTCCCAAACGCTGGACAATGAACAGTGCGTTTATTTACAGTGGGGTAATGTACACCACACAAATCTCCAATGTGCTCCCTCAACTCCTGTGTTGTGCCTTCTCCTAAGTGCTGGTATTTCGTGCTCTCTGCTCCCGTGCCTACGCACACCCCGTGCGTCCTGCTGTCCTGTGCTCCGCTCTCCTCCCGAGGGGAAAAAAATAACAGACGCAGTCGTTACGGCAACAACTCCAGCAGGCATACACTTAACAGCACTTTAAACACTGCCATGGCATCTAATTCAACAATCCTGCGCCGGAGGAAGCTCCATCGCTCTGTTAAGTAGCTCCCCCGACGAGCTTGATCAGAAGCAGGTGTGTGAGAACCTAGGCGTGACCAGCAGCTGGTCAGCCACGCCCATCAGGCCTGCAGGTGGCTGTCCAGCCACACCCGCAGACACACACACACACACACACACACACACACACACCAGCATGGAACACAAGAGCACAGTGCAGCAAACATACATCCAATACAATAATAATAATAATAAAGGTCCACACTGCTCACAGACCCCGAGTCCCAGGAAGCGGGTCCGTGACAGCTACTCTATCAGATGACTCTAAGATATATGCTATAAGAAAGCAGCTGCAGTCTTTATACTTAAAATCAGGGGCAGCACAGAAGGATTTGAAAGAGAGGACATCTAAGTGTGTGTCTTCAGCATAAACGCGCTGTAATCTCAGTTTACTTTACATGGGCTTTTTTTTCTTTTTATCAATACAGCTATAAAGTGTCACATAGTTATCATAACTCAAGTATTTGTGGTTAAGGGAAAAAAAGCAAATTTCCAATTTTCAACTACTTGCTAACAAATAATGTACTGACTTCTATTGATTAGTCAAGAAATTTTTTTTAAATTTATATAAAACTATTAATACAAATCTTTACAATTTCATACTCTTCCACTAGGGGCAACATAGAGTTATACACAGGTAGAGAAAGTTTGTGAGGGAGACATCATACACATACATAAAATATCAGAAGAATGTCACTTTTGGGGACAGGGAAGGTTTTTGGATTAAAACATGTTTTAGAGCATGCTGAACATTATTAGAGGTATTAGAGGTAACATTATCAGCTATTTATTAATAAGTGACTTTTATGTATATATGCCTGTATATATTGGGCTATTCTTAGTGTATTGTCTGTCCCTGTTAATATTTGTTTATAATGGAGCACTATAAAATAATTTCCCCTATGGATCAATAAAGTATTCTGATTCTGATTCTGAAATCTACTTGGGGACGGTGTTTTGGTCCCCAAAGGGAGAGGAGTACTCAATTGACTGGTGTGTGAGCTGATAGAAGGCCCCGATTTTCACACAAGTAAACTCTCTCTCTCACACACACACCAATTAAACACTTCACCAATTTCTAAGCATATTTTTAAAGTTGCCATCAACGTGGAATCCTCAACAGATTCTTTGTGTCCCTTCTATGAACTTTAGTTCTTTCCGTAGATCTTCAAGTAGATTCAGGTCAGGTGACTGCTGGGCCATTCGAGCAGTTTTATTTTCCTTCTCTGAAACCAAGTGTGAGTTTCTTTGGTTGTGTGTTTGTGGTTACTGTCTTGCTGAAACGTCCGCCCTCATTTCATCTTTATCATCCTTGTAGATGGCAGCAGATTTTTATCAAGAATGTCTCGGTGCATTTTTCCATTCATTCTTCCTTCAATAATATGAAGCGTGCCAGTAACGTATGCTGGAAAAAGCCACACACCATGATGTGAACTGTTGTTAAGGTGTTTTTGGAGACATATGCAGCGCCTTTTGACCTCCAAACATGGTGTGTATTACAGCATCCAAAGAGTTCAGTTTTAGTCTCATCTGACCAGACTATATCCTTCCAGTATTTCACAGGGTTGTCTAAATGTTTTTCAGCAAACCTTACACATGCTTAAGCAATGGAGTCGTATGTGGTGAGTGTGCATACAGGCCATGGTGGTTGACAGCACTACTTATAGTTTTCTTTGAAACAGTTGTACCTGCTTATTCCAGGTGTTTCTGTAGCACTTCATGAGTGGTCCTTGGCTCTCGGCAGCTCTTTTGATTATTACCTGCTGCGTGTGTGTGTGTGTTTGCTGTTTGTGTGTGTTTGAGTCAAAGGGGGCATAACACTGTTCATTTGTTTGTTATTTATTATTGCAACATCCTAGGATATGTGCTGTTTTTCAGTCTGCTCATTTTAGCTTTAATTGTCCTGTACCATCTACCTGAGGGTAACGGCTCAACCAGGTGATGATCTTCTGTGTCGTGTTGATGACCTTCTGGAGTGCTGGACAGCTGGCAGCCCACACTGGTATGCAATATGTCAGTACAGATTCAACACAGTGTGTATAGAAGGACACCTGCAGCTCCTTGGGTAGGGCTGTGGTGATGCCATCTGGAAAGAATCGGATTTGCAGCTGCTTCATTTTTCAACATGAAAATGGTTCCAAACACAGCCAAAAGACACACAGTAGGGTTGTCTAAATCGTGGATTGGCTGCAGGTTCAGAGACTGTACTTTAATGTTATTGAAGCAATGTGGGATCATCTCGACACAGATCAGAAAGGGAGCCAATATCCAGAGAAGAGCTTTGCATTTCGCTCAAGCAACCTGGAAAACTATTCCTGAAGGCTACTTAAATAAATGACAAGGAGGCTGTTAAAGACTCTGTTTTTGACTTATATGCTGTATTTCCATGTATGTTTGCCTATTTTTCAATAAATCGTTCATTTTTTTTCTAGCAAAATATAAAGAAATGACTGGTCTTATTTTGACCCGCCCACCGGAGTTGACGTTAGCATACGTAACGGATTTCCTCACAGCTAACTGGATGAGCCGGGACCGTCGCTCCTTAACGTGGCGGGAGCCAGAAATGAATGCATGAAGCAAACGTGTCTGGTCCTGCTGTGCGGACAGAAACACAATCGGTTGCTTTATATTATTTCTGATTATGAGCAGGTTACGTTCAGCGATGCAGAAAGGCAAGCGAGCCGCAGTGGAGGTGGTAGAAAGCGCATTACCGAAGCGGAAGAAGTCAAAGACAGCAGTGAAACAAGGTAGCAACCATGCTGCTGTTACTTAATATCTGCGCGTCGTAGAGAGATCTACATTTCAGCTTTCATTGCATACTTGAAAGTAAACACATCGCTTTCCCTGATGCTAAAAATGATGCTAAACTGTTTAAGCAGTGCCAGAATGTTTTAGCAGCTTCAGAATTTACAGCAGTACAGATGCGTGCACAGCCAAACCGGGTCCTGCAGGCTCGTGTTGGGTAAAGTTTGATACTGCTGCAAGAAATGGCATGAATGTCTGATGGGACTTGTTTCAATCTAATAATCATATTTATTATAGTATACAATAGAAACGTTTAATAACGGCATAATAGGCAGATATGATTTCAGTGAGATTTCTTTAGTCTGAGTGAGAATTGTGTTTTTGGTCTTCCAGAGGAAACCACAGATGCTTCCTCACCATCTCCGCACCACACTTTCCCTGATCCTGCTGATGTCGTCCGCTTTCGCTCTCAACTCCTTAACTGGTACAACAAGGAGAAGAGAGAGCTGCCATGGAGGACTCTGGTAAAAAGAAACTATATTATACTACTTCGTTGTCATCATTAATATACATTAATGTAACATATGATATAGAAATAAGTTTGGTTCAAAGTTAACGTTTCAGCCATGTCAGTGTTCTGGTGGTTTCTGTCGTATTTTTAGTTTTTTTTCTCAGAGGAAATTTGTAGCTTTGCCTTTCTTTACTTTCTACAGGCTATAACAGAGTCAGACATCAACATCAGGACATATGGAGGTGAGAAGAGTTGGGTGCATTCTTGACAAATGTACACATCTTTAACTGCTGCTTAAAGTGATGTGCTTTTTTCAGTATGGGTTTCAGAAATAATGCTGCAGCAGACTCAGGTTGCCACAGTAAAAGACTATTACAACAAGTGGATGAAGGTGTGCATCGTGTAGCTTTCTTGTGCACTGGACTTCTTGTGACACTGATTTCACTGTGTGCAACTTAAAGCTTCTATTTATTATGCTGCAGAGGTGGCCCACAGTCCAGGAGCTTGCAGCTGCCACTCTAGAGGTGATGCCTTAAAGCAGCAAATGCACATACAATGATTTTAAAATGCTGATGTTTTTAATTTGGATGTACTGATTGTGTTGATTGGTAGGAGGTGAATCAGATGTGGGCAGGGCTGGGCTACTACTCCCGTGGAAGAAGGCTGCATGAAGGAGCGCAGAAGGTCTGATTGTGTTCTTCCCTTTATCTAACACTTCTAAACAGTCTGTCTGCAGAGAAGTCTCACACCTTCTGTGTTTGGGTGTTCATTATATGTTCCTTTAGGTGGTGTCAGAGCTAAAGGGACAGATGCCTCAGACGGTTGAGAGCCTGCTCAAACAGCTGCCTGGAGTGGGACGCTACACTGCTGCAGCTATAGGCTCTATTGCACAGGGGCTGGTGGGTCATTAGACATGGATATCTGCAGCAGAGCAAAGTCTTAGGTACTCTCTTATTAATCACTCATAGTGATGTGATCTCTCTTGTGTAGGTTACCGGAGCTGTGGACGGTAATGTCATTCGGGTGCTGTGTCGCCTGAGGGCGATTGGAGCTGACAGCACAAGTCCAGCAGTGACAGAGGCACTTTGGTGAGATTCACCTCCAAACCAAAATAATATATAAACGGAAAGCTTTTGAATGTTTTTATTTCTCTTGTGTTTAAGGGATCTGGTCAATTTGCTGGTGGATCCTGAGAGACCTGGAGACTTTAACCAGGCCATGATGGAGCTGGGAGCACGAGTCTGCACCCCTAAAGGGCCCCTGTGCAGTCAGTGCCCCGTGCAGTCTCACTGCCACTCTTATCACAAGGTTGGGATGATTTCAAATTGCAACTGGTACCGATAATGCTAACACAGATTAGAAAAGATTCTCTCCAGTTAATGGCATGAGGCATGTTGTGTGTCTACACAGGTTCTTGTCAGACAAGAGCAAAACTCTAAGAAGCTTTTGGGGAAGCTGGGTACAAAGACTTCAGAGCTGCCTGACATAGAAGACTGCAGTAAGTCTCCTCCCCTTCAGACCTCTCAGATGTCTGTATAGTCCTGAAATTAAAGTATCTTTCTATATGTGAAGCGAACAGTGTAACATGTCCCCTGTGTCCCTCGGAGCCCTGGGATGATGAGCTGGGTGTTCAGAACTTCCCCAGAAAGCCGTCGAAGAAGCCCCCCCGGGTGGAGCGAACTCTTACCTGTGTGGTGAAGAGGCCTGGAGATGACGGGGAAGAAAGGTTCCTGCTCATACAGAGGCCAAGCAAAGGTTAGCACTGATTGCAACATCAGCTTGTGCTGGTCAAGCGTTGGATTCAGAATGTGCACAATTGTATCCTGATAACGAGACTGAATCAGGCTGCTTGAATCACTGAGAAAACTGTTAGTGTTAGGAGTGATGCATTGGTCTGGATGCAGGCTATAATTTTGGTGGATGTCTCAGTCATTGTGCAGCTTGATTCAGACACACATAAAAAAAACGGTAAAAGTAAGTAAATCTGTCTGGGTGGGCTGCAGGTTTGTTGGCAGGCTTGTGGGAGTTTCCAAGTCTTCTGCTTGAGGTTGAAAACTCTGAGAAGAAACAGAAGGGGGCGCTCTGTGAGGAAATCAGCAGAATACTGGGAACGCATTTAACTGAAAACCTGTTCCAGTATGTGGGAGAGGTAAGCTGGATATTTAGACCCTCTGTCATCTGCCTTTAATAGGAAATAAGCTGTTTGTGTAACTCTGCTGCACTGGTTGGCTGTTTGCAGGTGGTCCACATCTTCTCCCACATCCACCAGACTTATGTGGTTTACAGTGTGTGTTTAAAGGAGAGGGACACACACACAGAGACTGAAAACACACAGTGGCTCACTAGATCTACTCTACAGGGAGCTGCTGTGTCCACAGGACTGAAAAAGGTTTGTGGTTGTTTTTTTATGCACTTGTCTGAGTGAATTCTGTCTGTGTAGCAATAAGAGTGCACTTGATTGTCACTTAGAGAAAGCATGCTATAACAACCTGCCTTTACCTTTCCAAATATATATTGGATATAGTGAAAACGGGGCTGCAGTGGCTCGTGCTGTCAAAGTTCATTTTCACTATGCAAACAGATTCAGATCATCACCTGCTGATCCTTAACATTGACCACAAACCTTTTCATAAAAGGCAAAAACAAAGTAGCTAAACAGAACCTAAGTCGCAGTGTGTAGCTTCCCTTAATACTGGCAACCCACACACTGAGGTACCGCTTGGTGGTACAAGAACAAAAGCTGCGGTTCGGTCACAACTTTCCGTGACTTCATTGATTACAAAACCCCAAACAAATAAGCAAGAATGCCCCCCCCCCAAAAACAAACAAACAAAAAAAAAATACAAGAAATGAAGAGCCAAGCAGATAAATCTGAGTAGAACAGAGGGTGGGAGAAGAAGATTGTGTTGGTGTGTTTTCAATTTGCTGTGTGCTGGTACATGATGACACGAGCCACAGTTCAGGGGTTCCTCCTCTCTGCTCTGACAGTCTGACACTCGGGGATTAATTCACAAAGCACATCCTGTGATTATCCACAAAAATGCACTCTTCATTAAAAAGCTTTTATTGGCTCATCTCTGTGAAAAGCCTCAACATGAAAGTCAGTTTGACACATGCGGCGTTCTTACTGCAGTTTTGAGCTCCGTGGTTCAGTGCAGATGTTCAAAGGGGAAGTCAGACAAGTTTAAATCAGGTTTTTTTACTGGTGGAGTCAGATAAAGAACGTTTCCTGCTTTGTTCTGCTACTACACACAAATGTTTTGGGTCAAAGGCTGATCGAATAAAACTGAATGTAAAGCCATAAACAAATAGTCCCCCGGTAATGTCACAGAAAATACACATACATGTGTAAAATGTCGTCAAGATTGTCTCACGTTTCTGTAACGTATTTAAAAAAGCATCTAATTGTGCTTGTGTGGTCTGTGTGAAACATCAACATTAAATCTCCTGCAGATTGTGAAGCTTTATGATTCTGTGGACAGTCTGAAGGAAAAAAACACAAAGGTGAGCCTCGACATTTGTAAAACTGCTCAGATAATTTATTATGTAATCCTACCGTAACTGTTTGTCTCTGCTCGTCTTAGGATGGAAAAAGGCAAAAGGACTCGGGAATAATGGATAACAAGAAGCCGCAGAGCTCTAAAAAGAACAAACTCAGTGCAGCGAGCAGCGGCAGACAGCTCTCCCTCAGTTCCTTCTTCAAGACTGTGAAAGAGGAATGTTGTTAGTGTCCCTGAAAAGTGCCTTTCCGCATGCATGTACCTAAATATCGCCATCACTGCGGTTTCCACTTTAAGCTATTAATATAGCAATCCATTTTTGATTAAAATTGTATTGTGTGATTTTTTTATATTTTTTTATTATTTTTTAACGACTGATTTCTGTCTCATTGTAAACCAACTGCAGGATTTTAAGTAATTTCATGTGAGCCGACGACGTGTTTTACACTTAGTATGTTTCATAATTGTCATGTTTGTTGCCACAATAAAGTTGTAACATGGGAAAGAAGTGTAAATAAAAGATAAGCTCTAGTCTTCACTTGAGCTGGTGACGTGTGAGTTGAATGTCCAACATCTGTAAGGCCAAATCAAGATAAAGATTGAAGTATCTTTTTACAATAATGACCATTTTACATTCTGAAGGATTCATTTGTATTGAAATGACCTCGTCTGACTGTCTGCATAAGTAAGGAGGTAAAAAAGTCTTTATCAGCCAAACCTTGTAGGGAAACAGCGCCCCTTAGTGGGCCGAATGAAACAGGAAGTGATCGAAATCACAGTTTCTACACATGGAAAAACTGGAGCGAAAGACGCTTTGTGTCACCGTGCAGTGTTTGGTTTGTTTGCCTGAGCTGCAGCCGATCCTGCGTTAGCGCGGCTGTTTCTGGCACGGCTGGTTGCTCCAGTCTGTCTTCATTTTATCGCAGGGCTGCAGCTGCACTTGGCTCACATTTACTGAACTTTAAGCCCAGTCCAAAGGTTCCCCCACGCTGTCACTGAAGTTTACTGCGTCTGAGCATCAGCGGGCAAATTGCTGTCTTGAACTGCAGGACGTTTGAGGGGTTTTATTCTTCTTCTTTTTGTTTAAAGTCCTTGAAAGCTCTCAGATGGATTCCGCACGGCAAACTGTCCTGTCTGTACACCAGAGGATAGTCGACAATGGAGGTATGATGTTGATTATTTTCCCACATGTGTGTTACGCTTTTATTGCTTTTTCTTTTTGCATCCCTGTGTCTCGTGTGGTTGTTGGGCAGATTTTCAGTGTAAAAGGAAACCTTGTCTTAGTCTGTTGAATGAGTGGGAAGATGCAGATGTGCTCCAGAGCTCGGCTTCACAGTGACTGCTCTGTGGTTTTTGCCACATGACTGTCTGAATGAGCGTGACACTTTTTATCTTGTTATTGTCTTGTTACAATTATCTTTGTAATAGGCATAGAGGAGCAGCAGGCATCCAAGCTCACTCACCAAGAATGTTTATGGAGAAAACTAGTTGCTTAGCTGCTTGTTCATAAATGCTTGAAAACAGCACATGTACATGTACACTCACTGGTGCTCCTGTTCAACCTTATTTGTTAGAGAAATATTTAATCAGCCAATCACATGGCACATGACATTGTTATATTTGCCACACAACTGTATTTACATTTGATAGAGAATGGACCAAAAAAAAGAAGAAAGTATCCAGTGAGCAGCAGGTCTCTGGCTGAAAAATGCCTTGTTGGTGTCAAAGGTCAGAGGATAGGAAGGCAACTGTAACTCAAAAACAAAAAATAAAAATCCCTTGGAGCAGATGGGCGCCACGCCTGTCAGCTAAGAACGGGAAACTGAAGTTACAGTTTGCACGCTGAACAACAGAAGACTGGAAAAATGCTGCCTGTACTGATGAATCTGAAACATGCATGAATACCATGGATGCATCCGTCCTTGTATCAACAGTTCATACTGTTGAAGGTGGTGTAATGGTGTGTGGGGGTCGGTGTTGGTCAAGTTACTTGAAAAAAGTAATTAGTAACTAATTACTGATTACTCCCCCCAAAAAGTAATCCTGTTACTTTACTGATTACTTATTTTCAAAAGTAATTAATTACTTAGGTTGTAAATCGTGTTTTTAAAAAGTAACTGAGTAGGTGATAAAGTGATAGATCTTTCAGCCCAATTCTACTTTTTCTGCATAATCCATCATACAAAATGGAATCAAATGGAAAAGTCTCTTTTTAAAACTTGTTTTATTAGTTTTAATCTTTTAACTTTATGCATCAAGCAAAGATTTAATTATCTGCAAAATTCTCTGACTGGAAGAAATTAGTTTAACATTTAAACCTATTTTCTGCACATTCCAGCACATAAATAAAATATTTTTTGTGTCTACACTCAGTCTTTCAAATAGATGCAAGTAAAACACAGCAGAAAATAAATAAAGTCAAAGACTCAGCGGTCCTGTTGCTCTATTTTCACCTGTAAAGCAGGAGTGGGGCAGGCGGAGGTTTACCCTGGTGCAGGTGTGCCGCGGTCAGTGGAAGAATCCGCGAGTTTCTCTGTGAGTTTCCCATTACGTTGTAGCTACTCGGTGCTTGTTGGAAGTTTAGGGGTTTTTTCTCTGTAAAAATAAGTTTTCTTCCCACACACAGCCGGCACTAATGTTTTTGTCCCTTTTTATGGAGTCAAACTCAAAGTAAGGTCAGTACTTCCACGCTTTAAACGCTGCACGCTCATACTCTCTCTGCACTCCATATATGATCCACTGTTGATCTGCACACAGCTGTTGTCACCAACGTCGCACTCGCTTACGTCACTGTCATGAGACGTTCTTGCAAAGAAATCACGGTTTTAGTAACGCAGTAACGCAGCGTTCCTACGGGAAAGTAAGGGTAATCTAATTACCGTTTTTGCGATAGTAATCCCTTACTTTACCCGTTACTTTAAAAAGTAATCAGATTACATGCCCATCTCTGGTGGGGGTATTTTCATGGTCCCTTAGTACCAAGTGATCATTGTTTAAACAGGTCGCTGTGCTCAAAGGGCCTTCACAGTCACCAGATGTCACGAGAGCACCTTTGTGGTGGGTTGGGAGAATGCAAGCGGCTGTGTGATGCTGTCATGTCAACATGGACCAAAATCTCTGAAGAAGGTTTGCAGCACCTTGTTGAAATCTGTGTTATGAAGAATTGAGGCAAAAGGTGGCCCAGCACTGTACCTAATCAAGTGGCCGGGGAGTGCATATTAACTAAGTTGCAGCAAGGTTCACTTTTTTGCATTTCCTGAGCAGCCTTGAGACAAAAACCACATCTCAGGAATCATTGGTGAGAAATTCGTGAGATCACAGCAGCTCCAATCATTATTTTACTTTGGATCTTTCCTTTAACACATTTGTTCATTTTTAAATTAAACCTAACCTGCAATTCCTGCTGTCCAGACAAGAGAACGGACCCCTGGCTGTTGGTCTACTCCCCAGTCCCGGTGACGCTCATCTTCCTGCTTTATCTGTTTGTAATCTGGGCCGGCCCTCGTCTGATGAAGCACAGGGAACCCTTTGAGCTCAAAGTGGTCCTCATTGTTTACAACTTCGCCATGGTTGGCCTGTCTGTGTATATGTGCCATGAGGTGTGTTTAAGCTGCTTCTTTGTTCTGTTATAACAGGGAAACTAATTAACCAACCAGCTTATGAGCAAAGCAATGATGTGTTTGAACAGTGGCACAATGTCTCTGTACTTGCATCTGTGCACCAACCTAATGAATTCAAATATAGAGTTCAGCTGTGATTGAAGAGAAGATTTATAGATTCAGTTCAAAGGGTACTGAGACCCGTGTCCAATCTGTGCTTTGCAGGTTGGGTTCAGGTCAGGAAGAGATTATAGCGCTATAGGCATCAGACTACTACATGCTCTTTTTATCAGCAGTAACATCATCAATAAACACCAGTGAACCAGTTTAACTCGCGGTCGTACATGTTTTTGTCACAACATCCCCTCCAACATGTTTGGCTGATAATGTGGTGTGTTTTGGATCTTGAATCCTTCTTTTCTTCCTCTCTTTCTGCTAAACGTTCGTCTTAGTTTTGTCTGTCCAACGAATCTTGTTCCAGAACTAGTCCGTCTAGATGTTTGTAGCAAAGCCTCATCTGTCTTTACTATTGTTGGGTTCAATTTAATTCAATTCAATTCAATTCAATTCAGTTTTATTTATATAGCGCCAAATCACAACAAAAGTCGCCTCAAGGCGCTTCATAGATACAGAGAAAAACCCAACAATCATATGACCCCCTATGAGCAGCACTTTGGCGACAGTGGGAAGGAAAAACTCCCTTTTAACAGGAAGAAACCTCCAGCAGAACCAGGCTCAGGGAGGGGTGGGGCCATCTGCTGTGACCGGTTGGGGTGAGAGAAGGAAGACAGGATAAAGACATGCTGTGGAAGAGAGACAGAGGTTAATAACAGATATGATTCAATGCAGAGAGGTCTGTTAACACATAGTGAGTAAGAAAGGTGACTGGAAAGGAAAAACGCAATGCATCATGGGAATCCCAGGCAGCCTACGTCTATTGCAGCATAACTAAGGGAGGATTCAGGGTCACCTGGTCCAGCCCTAACTATATGCTTTAGCAAAAAGAAAAGTTTGAAGCCTAATCTTGAAAGTAGAGATAGTGTCTGTCTCCTGAATCCAAACTGGAAGCTGGTTCCACAGAAGAGGGGCCTGAAAACTGAAGGCTCTGCCTCCCATTCTACTTTTAAATACTCTAGGAACAACAAGTAGGCCTGCAGAGCGAGAGCGAAGTGCTCTAATAGGGTGATATGGTACTACAAGGTCATTAAGATAAGATGGGGCCTGATTATTTAAGACCTTGTATGTGAGGAGCAGGATTTTGAATTCAATTCTGGATTTAACAGGAAGCCAAAACAGGAGAAATCTGCTCTCTTTCTAGTCCCTGTCAGGACTCTTGCTGCAGCATTTTGGATCAGCTGAAGGCTTTTCAGGGAGTTTTTAGGACATCCTGATAATAATGAATCGCAGTCGTCCAGCCTGGAAGTAATAAACGCATGGTTCACGAGAAAGACGCTGTAATTTTAAGATTAGACTCAAAACGTTACTTTTTGATGAAGCTTGTAGTTGGGGTTAGATCAGGTGACCCTGAACGATCCTCACTCACGCTGCTGTTGTCTCAGACGGCTGCAGTACTTCATGTGATGCACTGAGCGCTTCTTCACCACTCCCCTCTTTTCTCTGCCCACGTGTCTTTACACGACTGCAGCGTGTCATTCAGTTTTTGTCCTCTCTTCCTTGGTCTGTGTTTGTACTGTCTCCACATGCGCTGCCCCACCCTGAGCCTGCTTTAGGCTTCTTCCTGTTAAAGGGAGGTTTTTTTAGGTTTTTTTGTTTTTTGTTCTGTGCTTACTCAGCGGGTGTCACTTGATTGTTGGGTTTTACCTTAAAAACAGTGATCACATCATATTAGAACAAACAATGACAAGAAGAGTGGACACAGAGGAGAATATAGATAACAATAACGGAAACACATCAATACAGTAATACAGTATTCGATATGAGCCAGTATCACAGAGAGCAGGAATGTAGTCGCTGCTGTCTGTTAATGATGTGCGGATATGTCTACAGTTCTGTATATTAACATTTACAGTTTTCACTACTTTTTAAACATGTTTTTAAAGGATAATTTCGAGTCTAGTAGCACTCCCAAATTCATAAATTCCTCAACATGAATTAGTTCTTGTTATTCGGGTATTGTCATTTTCATATTGGTCATAAAAAATGAGGATGTGAGCCAAACGTCGTCGGCTATCGGACTACTTAAAAAATAGAGGAACATGTTTAAAAAAATCTATTTGTTCTTCTTGAAGTGCTACTGCAATATCCTCATTAACCTCTTTAACTACAGCTGGAAATCTTAGTGTCAATAACCTCAATTTTCTAATCCTTGAAAATCCATTGTGGTGGTGAACAGATGCAAACTTTCCAAATACTTTGATAAACCTGACTGCATGACCCAAAGCACACATGTTAAAATACTTCTGTACAGTATTTAATTTATTAATAACTGTGTTTTAGAAAGTCTCGTTTCATGAGATATGTGAAGATGAATAACTGCCTGATTATTTTCAGTTCCTTGTTACATCCTGGCTCCTTAACTACAGCTTGCTGTGTCAGCCTGTAGATTACAGCACCAGTCCGCTGGCAATGAGGGTAAGAAAGTTATGCATTGAGTATATTTTGTGGTTTGTTTGTTGTGTGTGTGTCTGTTGAGAAGTTTGATGCATATCATACATACCTGACAAACAGTTTATACAGAAGTTACACTTTTTCCCCAGATGGCCAGAGTGTGCTGGTGGTTTTTCTTCTCTAAGGTCATAGAGCTCAGTGACACGGTATGTATCTACACAGCCCAACCTAAGCTGATGCACTCTTTCCTGATCCTGTGTCACAGCAGCATCGCCTCCGTACCAACTTCTAAACCTTCCCTTTAAATGTTGCTTGTATCTCCTGATTGTTTTCCATCCACTCCACCCTGCTCTTCTCCACCTCTTCACCTTTTCTTCATCCTCCATCACCTTTTCTGCTCTATCAGCCTGTCCATTGCCACTGGAAGCGGGAAAAGCTCAGAGTGTAACTGAACCTTCATCTTAAACCCATCTGTCACTCTCAGGATCAATGCTGAGACCCTCTTTGGAGGGTCCGCCACATTAGGTGCTGTTCAAAAACAACGAGATTAAAAAATGTTGTAAATGTTTGTTGGCCCGTAGACATTTTCAAAGAATAGAACAGCAGGTGGGGATGCAGTCGAGCAGACAATCGTTGCTGTAAGGCTAAAGCAGAGCGTGGGGTTCAAGTCCACACTGTCACCATTTTTTTAAAGACTAGCAAGTGGGAGCATAGAGAAATTTTTTGCATATGCGATGGATTGATCTTAACATAAGCTCCAGGAATATATCATTCCACGTTGCTACTGGTGCTGACTGTAAGTTTTTGTTTCTGGCAGAGAAAGGTGAGGATGTTCCAAAGCTTAAAATGATTAACATTGTGCTCTTCATCACATACGTCTCTGCTACTCTGTGTCCTCATGCAGTACAGCTCTTCTTTTGCGACAGTCTTGTATGCACCTAATACCCCAAAGGCACAGTCGTAGTCTTAGGAATTTCCTTCTCTTTTTTCCAGTAATCATACAATGTCTCACTTTCCAAGTAAACCTCGCAGCTCCTCTTACACGTGTCCATTCTATCTGGACCAACCGGCTTTGCGTTTTCTTTCAATACTCACTGCTGCCCTGACTCTATGATTTAACTTTCTCTCATTTGCTCTTATTTTCTTTATTCTTCATCCCTGAAATTACTCCTTTTGATTTTACCCATCTGTCACCTCTCAGTATGTTTCAGTATTTATGCTTCCTGTTCAGTTCCTTTCCTTCTAGCCCTTAGTACAGGCACTTTTCTCCTTCCTTATGCTGTGGTGTCTGTGTCTGCTAAAGCTGCGAAGAAGAAAAAATACTTTTGTCTGGTGCTTTATTCAAGGAATAGATCACCATAGCAACTAGCACCTCATGTTTGATATGTCATATCTTTTCTTTCCTCACATATGATGTAGCTACAGATGGGGATCATTCACGTTAGGCGACTGCATAAACTTCAATTCAATTCAATTTTATTTATATAGCGCCAAATCACAACAAAAGTCGCCTCAAGGTGCTTCATAGATACAGAGAAAAACCCAACAATCATATGACCCCCTGTGAGCAGCACTTTGGCGACAGTGGGAAGGAAAAACTCCCTTTTAACAGGAAGAAACCTCCGGCAGAACCAGGCTCAGGGAGGGGCGGGTCCATCTGCTGTGACCGGTTGGAGTGAGAGAAGGAAGACAGGATAAAGACATGCTGTGGAAGAGAGCCAGAGGTTAATAACAGATATGATTCAATGCAGAGAGGTCTGTTAATACATAGTGAGTGAGAAAGGTGACTGGTGACTGCATTGCATATACATTGCTAGCTGCTAGCTGTAGCTCTTTGCTCATTTCTCTGTGTACAGCTCCTGATCATCCTGCGGAAGAAGAACAATCAGCTGACGTTCCTTCATGTTTACCATCACAGTACGATGATCTTCAACTGGTGGTCGGGAGTAAAGTATGTGGCAGGTGGACAGTGTGAGTATTCTCATACTGAAATATTTTGTCCTCAGATTTGTGACCTCATTCCCCCAAACAACCATAAAGTCCACTAAGAGTAAAATTAGCTCCACTGCTTTAACTAGCTTCTCCCTTTAGGGGTCGCCACAGTGGCTCATCTACCTCCACCTCCCCGATCTCTGGCATCCTTCTCTGTCACACTAGTCCTCTTAGTGGTCTTCCTCGTTCCCGCTTGCCTAACAGCTCCATCTCCATAATCCTTTTTCAAATATATATTTAAACCAGCTTTTCTGTGTGGAAAACCTTTTTCTGTTGTTTCCTGCAGCGTTCTTCGTCGGCCTGATCAACACCTTTGTCCACGTTATAATGTACTCTTACTATGGCCTGGCTGCACTCGGCCCTCACATGCAGAAATACCTGTGGTGGAAACGGTACCTGACATCTCTGCAGCTGGTGAGCGTCTCCAGCTCTGTAGTGAGATATTCAAAAATGTGCGCACCAGCATATTCGAATCATTAAACCGATCTGAACTGTGTCGCCTCTCCAGGTGCAGTTTGTCCTGATCATTGTGCACACAGCGTACAACCTGTTCGCAGATTGCAACTACCCTGATGCCATGAATGCTGTGGTGGTTGGTTACTGCATCACCCTCATCATCCTCTTCAGTAACTTTTATTATCAGAGCTACCTCAGGAAGACGAAGAAGCAGAAATGAGACGTCGTGATGAGGCAACACACAGCTGAAACACAACGGTTTAAAAAAAATACAGACATATATATATGGGCATTATACATGATGTACATTAAAGGTTTATTTTTTGAAAAAATAAATCTGCAGTACTTCGCAGCAACCACTGGAGGGCGCAACAAGTCCACAGTGTGAAAGTTTTTCCTCAGGGTGCTCAACACACAACTAGCTCTGGGGACTGACATTGCACAATATTTCGGGCTATAAATGCATTGGTGTGTTGCATTTGTTACGTAGTTGTCTTTATAAAAACAAACAATATAATAAACACAGAACAAATGTGAGCACCTGAAGAATCTGTCATTTATATTGTTTTTTAAAAAAGAGACACTGCGTGATGATTCAGTTATTTATTTCTTAAACTGAGGAATGACAAACATTCAAATGATTGCTGTAAACAAACTGTACATTTTATACATATAATAATAATTATAATAAAGTAGGATGGTTTCTCTGCCCAAACCCTCCTCCCGAGATAAATCCAAAAGCCAAAAAAAACAAAAAACTACTTAACAAGAGAAATGCAAACTTTTTTTCCCCACTGATAAAACTTCACTGCAAAACGTTATATTCTCCTCTACACGTCAGTGTGGAGCAGACGTGTAGATTACCGAGAAAAAAAACAAAGAGGAGGAGAGGAGAGGTTTGTGGTGTTAAAATGAGATGTTGTATGTAGAAGCTCGAGCTGATTGTACTGTCTGTGTGCAGGTTTCAATGTCAATGTCATTTAATAACATTTAATTCAATTCAGTTTTATTTATATAGCGCCAACAGCTGTTGCCTCGAGGCGCATTACAGACTAAAACCTGCACCATCAACAACATTTATTTGCCGATCGTGCCCAGCAGTTTGCAGCCTGGTAACTTGGACCTTTATCCCAACAGGATTTTTGTTTTTCAGTCTGAATGCCAATTAGCATTAGCATGAATTAGAACGAATTTAAAGACTGCAGGAAGTTTCCATAATAGAAATAGAAATATCTGACTGTTTTCATGATGGGGTGCCCCATTATCAGACTATTCAAACACTGGTGTCCTTTTTTCAAACCTTTTTGTAGTCTCGTGCTTATTTTAGTGTTATTACTTGTACATTGGCCTTTGAAGTTATTCATGTTGTACAAAAGAAGTCAGTATTTGTTTGCTTGAACTGATCAAAGCAGATGCAGCTGAGTAGGCGCAATCATAAGAAGACAGTTTAATGTTTTAAGGAGTCATGAGGGAAAAAAAAGGTTGGGAAACACTACCATTGTTTTTGCCACTGAAGCCATTTCCATTCAGTGTCACAGTTGCATTTACATTATATTTAGCCTTATTTTTTCCACTTTATTGGTTTCTATCTTGCACTTAAGTCAGAATAACCCACTTACAATGTGATCTTTGTTCTGTTTTTGGAAAAATGAAACCAGAACTGAAGAAAAAAAAGATCTAAGCGTGTGAGGATGCATGAGGAAGGACCGCGGAGTAGTGTGGTGAAGCCTGTCTTGCTCTGGTGTTCCTTTATGTCTCTGTGTAGATGGAGGACATGTGGCTCAAGCTACGGTCAAAGCTGCCCACCTGGAAGAAAATGCTATCCTCTGGGCTGGATAAGAACTGGCAACCACCGCCTCCCTGCAGCTCCTGGGTCAAGCTGAAGCCTGGAACAGATGCAGGGAAGAACAGTTTGTTTAATATGCTGATTAAATGGTGATACTTGCAGCTCAGCCTGTACACAGGCTAAGAGGACAATCATCCTCACCCGCAGAGCCGGTGTTGCTCGTCGACATGTGGAAGCCATTGGGCTGATGTGAAGTGTAGGTGTGAGAATCTCCCGGGACGTGGACGCCACCGACTGTCTGCTCCATCCTGTAGGAGTCTCCGAAATGGAAGCAGCTCTGGAAGCTGCCTTGGTATTCTAAGAAATGTTGGAGAATCATAGAGGGAGAGAGAAAAATAGAAGCTGGACTTCATCAGTTGCCATTACAGAGGGACTGTTTCCACTGTCACTAAGCGCCCGGTCCATCCGGCTGAAACGTAATATGGTTAAGTTATGACAATGCTATATTTGTGTTTGTGCTAACACTGCCAGGCTACACGGTATGTAGCATTTGTCCCCATCGTCTGAGTTTGTGATCCAGATCAACCGCAGGAGTCATGATAATGGGAAAGCAGCCCTTCCTGGAGCGCATTTACGCAACTGGCTGACCACAGCGTGGTTTGAGAGACGTCCATGTGTAGATCTTTACAGTGAAAACAGTGTTTAAGGCATTAGGAAAAATGCTCGGGAGTGACAGCTGAACCTGCCATGTTAGGACGCTGAGAGACGGCCGAATACACGAGCCAGCATTTTGTTGGCTAATTCAGCACGAGGAAAAGGCTTCCGGCATGTGGTTTTCCCCACTCTGTCTCTACGACTCGAATCTCTCGGGGTCCTAAAAACGGTCCGACAGAGCTGCGGGGCTGTATCGGCGCGCTAAGAGACAACTTCCTCTCTCTTTTATGTGGCAGCGAGTGCTGCAGCTTTTGGAAGAGGAGCTGAGTTGGGTTCAGATTGTAATTATCTTCAGGTGATCTGTTCCTATCGTAGGAAATCATAGAGTTACTGAATCACCTGCCACAGGAACCATTTTAGGATATTAAATTGAAACATGCAGGAAGTGATTCAAATTCCTGCAAAACAGATTTCCTGAAAGAAGTTAAGCTGCATTCTGCATTGAGTGTCGGGGTTAGCCTTACCGTCGCTGGCAGGCTGATGCTGGTGATAGTGAGGGTAAAGCTTGTGGTGAGGGTGGACATGCTGTTTCTCCAGTGGAGGAGGCGATGTCCCCGCTGTCTTCATCCCAGGAGACAGGAGGGAACCCGACACCCTGAAGCAGACACGGAGAAACTAGGAATAAAAAGCTCTCAATTTAAAGTCATTCCTTTCTTGACAGCCTCAGTAGTTTCTCAATAAAATGCTTCATGCACTGTGACGTCCCAATCAAAGCCGGAGCTGCATGCCGGCCTGCTAACCACATGATCCAACAAACCCAGCGGAGCAGTCAGTGATCCTGCACACACATAGAAGAAGAAACAGTCCAGGCATGTGGAAACTTGGGCTCCCCACACGTAATCTTCCTCCTACCGCATATTATGATCTTAAGTCAACAAACAGAGTGTGCGTTGAAGTGAACACACACCAGTGCAGTAACCCTTGGCTTTGTGGCCGGGGAAGAAAAAAAATGCAACCCCTGTTTACCTTCATGACATTTAAGTGAAGAAATATTAAGTTAACGTGTTTGAGACTTTGTGGACTCCAGCCTGTGCAGATAATGATATTTTAGGTAAAGATGCCTCTGTGCTATTGGACCCATTTGTTATTCGATACAGCAGCAGCAAATCTCCAAGCTTCACACGGTGCCAGTCCTGGCTAAACGGAGTTGGTTTTTCTTCAATCTCTGCATTTAAGAGGTGCACTCTGTGCTGGAAAAGCCACAAATATGACATCAAATCTTGAAATCAAAGCAAAATTATGAAATGTTTTTGCTGTTCGGTGCCAGTTGAACTAATTGACTTTGCAAAATCTATAGTATGACATCAGAAAACTGCAATGTGCTTCATCACCACATCTTACTTTCTAACGTGAAGTTTCCTGCTGTCATGATGACTATGACCCATCCATCCATCTTCTGTTGACAGGATGACAGGTAGTGGGGGTAGCAGTTTAAGCAGGGACATCCAGAGCCCCCAGCTCTTCCATGGAGCCAACAAGGTGCTCCCAAGTGGGCCTCCACTGGTCTCGCCCTATCTCTAAGGGAGAGCCCATTTCTGCCATTTATATCAGTAATTTCATTATTTTGGTCAGAGCTCATGATCACAGGTGAGGGGAGGGAGGCAGCTTTGCATCCACCCTAAGCTCTCTCTACATCCAGTAAAACATATACAGTCCATATTACTACTGATGCCACACCGTCTGTCAATCTCCTGATCTCAAAGATGATTGAAGTATTTCAATGGAATTTGAGTCTCAAGCTTAGTTTGTCTAGAAAAGTAACTTATAACTAAATCACACTGCAGTCTGACTTCATTACTAATAGTTTGAATTTGTTTCCATTCCCTCAGATTTAGTCCTGATGTTGATGCTGCTATAATGACAAGTAATGAAAGAAACGTGGTAAAAAGGAAGTTGCTGGTTTGGTGGTCCTAGTCTTAAAAGTCTAAAAATAACAAATATAACTTTGCTAAATATATGCTGGGAGATTACTGCAAGTTACCCTTAATGACCTTCAGCATCGTATGAGCTGGCGTGGACACTCTGCGTCCGCATGCTGACTTTCAGATGCCTCCAAAACAATGGCGATTTAGTCTCCTCATAAAACACTAGGGCTGCCACGATTAGGCGACTAGTCACGATTACGTTGACGATTTTGATAGTCGACTAATCTGATTTAATAGTCGACGCGTCGTTTGAAGCTTTGTAAGATCACAAAAGACGCAGGAATAAGTAGCAGGATTTAAGAGTGTAATAACGGACTGAAACAGAAGATGGCAGCACTGCATGTACAAGGATGCCAGCTGCCGTTAAACCCCGAAGAAGAAGAAGCTGTGTCCCAGAATTCATAGCGCAGCCCAGCTCAGCTTCCAACAATGGCGGCAGCTAGTTAGTTTTAATATTACTCTTATTATTCTTTCTGGGTCACAAAATAAACGTTTAACATATTTTCAGGCGAGAATGTAGCTGTGCAAACCTCAAATATCTGCTCAGTTTATCAGGACACCACATATTTTCAAAAGCGCTCCGACGTTTTCGGAGATGTCTGTTACCCACTAGCTCGATAGCTAGCCGGGGGCTAGGCTCACTAGAACCGTGAGAACACCAGACTCCCAGCAAATCGTTTTCAAACCCACCGCCGTCTTTCGCTACTCAGGTTAAACATGATATATAAGTCACTTAGATAACTTAACAATGTTATTGTTTGGCTTTTTTTTAGTATTTTATTTGTTCCTGAGTAAATCGGTTTGGCTGAGATTAAAGTTATAGTTTTTACACAGCTGAATAAACGTCAAGCAGACAGCTGATTATCAGAAGTGTGAGATGCTCCAGAATTTACTCCGGTGTCCTGTTATATTTTAGATAGCAAGGAGTTTATTAAACTTCACCGAAACAATCTGCAAATTTCATTACAATTTAATAAACTATCATCTTGTCTTTATTTTTAGTTAGCACAGACCTTAAACACTTAAAGCTGTAAGCTAATGATAGTTATATAAGACCAGATGCTGCTGGTGCAATAAGCTGTACGTTTTACGTTCAATGGATGATGATCTGAGTAGTCGACTATCAAAATAATCGTTTGTGGCAGCCCTATAAAACACACAACCAACAGTGTGCTGAGGCTACCGGACTGACCTTTATTCCACTAAAGTTAGGTCTGGTTGTTTATTGTTAAAGACAAACTGAGGAGCGAGAGCAGACAGAAAAACATGCTTATTCGTTCTTTCGTTGACTCGAAATGGAAAACACATCGACCACCATCCCAAAATTTAAATGGCTGCAACACTTTTTTAATCAATAAAACCGACCAAAATATAAAACAAATGAAAGAAGCCAAGGGTGAAACAAACGATACGTGACTTGTTCATTATTGATGTTTGGAGGTGCTGGAAGGCAGACTCCACCTCCAGACTAATGGTTTCCCCGTTTTCAGACAGCTTTAGTTTTATATTCAAAGTAACGCTGGCAAAAAAGTGAATGATTATTCCTTTACTGTAAAGGCCACATCAGGCCAAGCTTAAACAAACAGGAGGAAAAAAGTGGATTTAATGTATGCCTTCATCACATCATGGTAATAAATGCATCCAGAAGCAGTAAGAACCAGGTCTGGTATTTATTCAGACACTTGCCTAGATGTTAAAGTTTACACAAAACTCAAAATGAGCGATTTAACGACTTAATGTTGTACACTTGACATTAACTTAATGAAACAGAAAGCTGGTCCAAATCCAGACTGATGGACAACAGACCTGCTTTTAAAAAATGGAGCTGCCCAGTCGCCTCCCCAAATATTCAGCAGCTACTTATTACTGCATATCAGGAATGCCAACACATAAACTGCTGCTGTGTTACTATGTGCGCTGTGCTGCAGGGGCATATGGTTTGTGCTAAGCGCTATATGACTGTGATGACAGAGAGCTGCTGGAGGCAGCTGAGCCCAGAGATGACTGCTCATTGCTGGCCTGGCTGGAGCCTGCTATATGACCTACTGCTCCATGCACGAGGGGCGTCCCACCCAGCACTCAGTAGCTGGCAGAGGCTTCGTGCGGGGCATTTGGCAGAGAGCACCGATCAAGAGGAGACGGTAAACGATGTCAAGCGAAAGTGCAAAAACTTGGAAGGCTTTCTTGCTGAATTATTTAACATTTTATTTAGCCGTACATCGCTTCAGGCTCCGCTGCTTCTACATTTATCACGGTGCTCATCATAAAACTGGATCCAGAAAATACAGTTTGGCTTCGGTTCTGTAAGAAAGGTCGTGTTGTTGCTCCTGTCTGTTCACCTGTGTCATAAATGTAAAAACAGTTCCCACGAATTCTGGTTGAAAAACAGACCCTGAAGCGAGTGAACATGAAAGGAACCATGCTTACTTTTGCTTACCTTGATTCCTCTTTATTTTACGAGGAGAATAAAGCACGTTTGTTTTATTTGTCAGAAAATGGCAATGCAGATATAGGTTTTATACAGAAAGAATACTGAGCTTATGAAAGTGATTCTTTTTACATCTTAGCTCACTAATTAAACTCTAATAACACAACAACTGAACTGCTTTTATATCCTTTGATGCGTCACTCAGGTAGATGTTTGTAATGTAAAGGACTACATACTATATAGCCACTTTTAGTATTGTAAAAACTTTCTCAAAAACTCACCTTGAAACCTTGAAATACAAGCTCAAATCGAGGTGGCAGGATTGCTGATTATTACTGTTTAAGGCTTTAAGGTGCCTTCTCCTTGCTGCCCTTGCCTTTGGAGCCCATCAGCACAAACCTGACGGTGCTTGTGTGACACCTTGTGTGACTCCAGCCCTGGAGAAGCTAGCGCTGCGAGCCTGGCTAATCCATGTGCTGGCACGGCGCCGCTGCGTGGCCATGTGTTCCTGCAGAGAGCACCATTCCCCCAGGAGCTGCTGTCAGCACAAACTCAGGAAACAGTTATACTGTTCATATTTTTACAAGCTGCCTCTATGTGTAGCTAAAGTGAATCATAAGCTAATCACTGCCAGCTGCCTCAGGCATTGCTCTAGCTTGCTAGCCACTCAAGCTCAAGGTATGAGGGGAATCTTTCATATGCCACATTAATCTCTCCCTGAAATTCACCTTCACTGACCATCCTGCACTCCTCTGCTTTTCCCGGTCACCCCACCTCTGTCCTAATGTAAGGACAGAGGGATTTGACCCCTGACCTTATTATTTCTGAAGCTAGAATAGGAGGGGATAGTAAGCTGAGGCTTTGATATTTCTTTTACAAAGAAGGAATTTGAAGATTTCAAAAATGCTCACATACTGATGAATAACGTAAACTTTGACCTGTGCTGGAAAAAGTTTACTTATAGAGATGGGAAATCGTTGCTCATTTCAGATCAGAGGCTTTTTTAACTTGACTGGATGGTTTGTGATTCAGAGGAATGAGGTAGGTGACTAAACTCTGCCGTTTGAAATGCTACCAGGAGATCAGAGGGACATTCAAACCTGGGCTGTTTGAAGCCGCCCTGAAGTCATAAAATTGCTTGTACTCAGGTATGCGGGCATGGACGTCATCTCCGCTAGCCTGCAGCTATTGTCCAGAAACATTACAGCTCATCTTAATAAAGATAAGCTACCCGTGAAGTCTTGGCTCCCTGCATGGAGGCATGATGGGATGGAAAGTAACATGAAGATTCATGAACAGTGCTGATCTGCTCCTCGTTCATCTTCCTTCACCTGCAGCTAACTGTCCCACTAGGGAGCGGGAATAAGACCCTGTTCTCCACAGGCCCTGCAAACTCCCCAAAACACCCTTCGCCTCCCCTCTCGTCTCCCCCCACTTTTTGCAGCCGACCATTAAGCCCCTCTGATGGATGACAGGGGCTTCTTTGGCACAGATCGGTGGGAACGCTTCTGTTTCTGGTTAGCAAACTAAAACAGTGTTTGAGAGACAGACAACAGCATCCTGGTTAAAGCTAAGCTAAAGCTAAGCCAGCCCCGAAGGCCCCAGCCTCCGTTAGTCCCAGAAAGATATCTGCCCCAAACTGAGCAGATCCACCTTTAATCACTATAGTCTCCTACTCTGAGGAATTCTTACTGTAAATCATCTGAATCTTTTCTCCCAGTTAACTGTTTGTGTAGTCGGGTTAATTGAAGGCAACACATTATTAACTGAGGCCCGCAAAATGAGTGACTGACCACATACTGCCATGAGCGACTACCTCAAAAATGCTTTTGTTTGGGTTTTGAGACTGACACTCATTTTCTGGCTGGTTGGAGAACGATAATGGCTGGAAGAAAGACAGTGTAGAGTTACAAGCCATGAACGTGCCCCTTCCAGAGCGGGAACTCTTAATGTAGCTCTGTGCCGACTGTGCTGCCACTCTAATCCAATTAGCCTGCGTCAATCACTGCCGAGGTATCAAACCGCCTCAGACTAATATTTGCAGAGGGGCTCTAATATCAATACGCAGGTAAAGGCTGCAGCTCCCCACCCCCTCTGCAATTATATAACCACACTCGGGTGAAGCAGTGAATGACAACATTTACCACCCGTCTCTCTGTGCTCGGAGGCCGCCGTGGTCGAACAACCGTTTCTGTGAGAGGGGCCCTGCGCGCACACTTGTGCCGCAGTGATTGCTAGGTGTATTTTAACTGGCATATCTTAGTATTAGCTTCAGAAAAATGACACTGGTATTTACAAAGTAAAAGGAGTCTAAATGGCCCATTTGAGCCAGGGTAAACACATTTAGCCGTGAGGTCAGAGGCTGCCACACCGGAGGAAGGTTAGTTTGATAATTTTGTCAAAATGTTTAATGTCCTGCTAAACCGTTTGGGGAAAAACAAATGCAGTGCTGATATTGACTTTGGCAACAGCCTGTATACTTAAGGCTTTAAACATGTAAATCAAACGCTCCATCTTCAGGCAAATGCAAGCAGACATTGCTGCAGGTCTGACGCCTCGCCCCCGCCCTCCGTCTATACCGTGTGATCAACAGATAGAGCTCTACAGCATGTGCCTTCGTGAAAGCTCTTTTAGGTCATCTCGAGCTGCTGAAATGTGCAAATTTGGGAATTGCTGTCGTTTTAATGCAATGCTGTCATCACGTTACTCGAGTTAAGTTGGGGACGCAAAGATGTGCATGAAAAGGGAGCTACGTCATTGGACCACATGGGGCACTATCACCAAGCTGCACCGGCATGTTCCTCATCAAGTACGGACAGGAGCAGACGCAGTCCAACTCTCACTTCCAATATGTCGCCCTGCCTGTGCAGCCGAGTATCCCCTCACAAAGTCCTTTTCACTTTCCATGCCTGTGCTCGCACTGCTAATTGTGCGTGCTGCTGAGAAAAGAGCCACAGGAACCGCGAGGTAATTTTGACAGGCTTCTCCTTCTGCTTTCAAGGCTTGAAACAACACACCAGCTTCCAGATGCTTCCCGGCCATCCCGACGTCTCTTGAGCGCCGCTCGGATGTTTACATCCAGGCGGTTTCACCGCTCTGCTCGGCTGCTCTGTTTGTGCTGGATGGCGAGCGGTCTGCTGTACCTCACACCCCAATCATAACCAATCACGTGTATTTCCTGGATATGTAAACTCGCCCCCACACACGGAGACACACACACACACACATAAGTACAAATGTATGTGCAGCTCTTTAAAGTAAGGAAGCCATCAAAGATCATTCTGTAATATGCGGGTGTTGTATATACACCCAAAGAGGGGAGCACGGAGTTAAAAGAAAGCATGTTTATGTAACACAATCACTTTTGTAACACAGTTTATGATGCTTGATTCCATCCACTCTTTCTCAATGTTATTAAACTGTACAGGACTGTTTTCCTTCCCTACCTCCCTGGTTTTTAGACACATTGCTTTAGCACAGCACACACTGTGCCTCCTGACGACACCCGGGTTCTGTAACTCTGCTCTGCAGGCTCTCTGGGGAAATTATCAGCACTAATAGGAAACATCCTGCAAATCACACACATGCACACACTCAGAGATGCACGAGAAGAGCTGCTCGAGCTGTTGCTGAGCAAGGCAGTCGCACCTGGAGGAGCTGCGGGTTTCGTGCGTCGTCTTTTGAAATGTTTGCGTCGACTTTAAGCGGGAGCTCTGCAAAGATACAGTTAATTAATGAATTCCCGGGATCATGGATTGGTTCAGTGGAAGCACATTTGTCTTGACTAAAGATGTAGCAACACTGGTATTCTTACTAAACCGTATTCAGTTTTATTGCTTCTTAAAAGTATCTCCAGATGTGCTTATTTTCACAATTACCTGAAAGATGCATCACTGGTTTAAACGTCATTGTGTTGCTTGCATTTGTTGCATAGCTGAACAACAGCAGTACATCAAGGTCTATAAAATGTAAAATGTAATCTCGAGGTTTTTAAAGAGAACCGCTCACAGAACATAAACACAAGAGGACGATGCTATCACACGGCTTTGATACTCTCACCAAAGTGTGAACCGTGACCGCTCGAAACAGAGCTGGTGATGTGTCACATTGACCGCGTGGTGACCAGCACTGCCCGTCTTCCCACGAGGGACGTCAAAGGAGCTGAGAAGTTGATTTTGTTTCCAGTAAGAAAGCCAAGATGGGTTTGTCAGCAGGACCATGAGGCTTAACCTAACATGAGCTAAGAGGGTTCGGCCGGGACTCGGGATGATAAATAGGTGAAAAATAATGGAGGCAGTAAAGTGTAATCATAATGTCAGGGAACGTCTTAAGAGAAGAACAGCGCTTGCACTTTCACTGAACTTTGTCGTACACGTTGTTTGTATGCAGTAAAACAAACACTCGGTGTCCTTTGACCTTTTCAAAACATGATGTGATATGACTTCAATTATATGACAGAATTGTGACAAAGCCGTCCATGACTGTTTGCAGGATTATTCATTCATTAATCAGATTCATGTTTACATTTCCCACCCTTCATGACACATCTCTAGTTTCCCAGCGACCCAGACCTTCGGAGTGACATACCTCAGCGTCTAAATACAAATCGAGGGCTTGTTACTCACCCGTCTCTCGTGCCGTCCATGGCAGCCAGCGGGGACAGGTGGTGAGGGCTGCCGAGGTCTCGATCCAGTCGGTGCTGTCGGGTCGGCAGGTCAGCGGTGGAGCCAGAGTTGGGGGTGGGGGTGAGCAGCTCCACTGGGGCGCTGTGATGGGGGGTACTGGAGCCAGTGTACAGGCCTGAAAGACAAACAAAGCTAATTCGGTAAACGTGCCAAATAAACTCAAGGCCCCCGTGCTTCATCTCTCCCTCGAGCAAATTAAAAGCCATTTCATGGCAACAGGATTTTGTTTTGACAACTTTCATCCAATCAGTGTGCTTTGTAAAATAAAAAGTTCTGTGTTTGCGCTGTGTGTAATTTAGGGTACATTGTTTGTGCTGCCACAGGGACTCGCCTTGTTTGTCCTTTTTTGTATTACACAATAATAAACTAAAATGTTACATGTGTTCAGTGACTTTGAACAGTAGGTCCTTTAAAGCTACAAATATATGATATAAGGAAATCTGCAGAAGAGCATGTGATAATCTGCTGACTGTTCCAATATGTCTTTTACTTTTTGATCATTTCAGTTTTTCCAAATGATATTACAGTTACATGTTGTTGATGCACCGGTCTGTGGGGGCATTATTATCTTCTTTTACTGGTTGCATGTTGCCAACCTTTTCTACTGTTTCAAGCTGCAAACTGTTATTAAATACGGACTCCTTTTCTTCTTTGCAAACTAGGAACTGCAAATAATAACTGTCACAACTGTTTTTACTATTATTATCTTCAGCGAAGATGCTTCCAAAGCCCAATTTGACAACAAAAAAGGGCTGTTTTGTCCAAAAATGAATCCCAGGGGTGTTCATTTTAAAAGGATAAAACAAACGAGTGGAACTGTTACTGTCTTACTGCTGTTAACATGTGGCTAGTTAGACTTTGGAGATCCACACGACTGTGCACAAGTCTTGAGCCTTCCCTCATTTCTGTATATTTTGGTTCCACTGGCGCTCTCGTAATTTTCTAACGCTTCATTTAACACGGGTCCACCGGCAGGCCCATTTTACAAGCACTTTTTAAATGATCCCAACTCCACTGCTGTTTGTGCTGGAGACAAAATCCACCTTGTTTCAGAAAGAAGAGAAGACAAACTTTATGTTTGGTGTACTACGGTATCACAAGGCACTGTTCGAACACAGACAGGAAAAAAATCAGCCACATTCACATTACCATACATGTATCCCTCAGACCTGCATAAATCTTGGTCAATAAAGGGTTAAAGATGTCTTGAGCAACAGTTCTCCAGGATTTCTGAAGGTCTGTAAAAGTCGTTCTTTGGACATTGGTGCTTTTTCAAGGTCAAGGTCAAGGTCAAATTTATTTATATAGCACATTTCAAACAGCCGATGCTGCACAAAGTGCTTAACAATATAAAAATGGTATTAAAAAGAAACACTGTAATACAATAATAACAATAAAAAACAATAATAGGACAATAAAAGTATTAAAACAATAACTAAACTAATTCAAATAAGACCAAAATACTTGGGTCATAGTGTGTTAAAAGCCAGGGCATAGAAATGTGTCTTTAGTAATGATTTAAATTGCTCAAGTGTTTGTGCAGATCTAATATTTAAGGGGAGACTATTCCAAAGTCTGGGACCTGCCACAGAGAAGGCTCTATCACCACGGGATTTGAGATTAGTCCGTGGGATTTTTGACTCATTTTCAGTCAAGTCATTGAACCCAACCGTTTTCAGAGGAAGACGTCAAACAACTTAAAAAATGAGCCTGTCACAAAAGTACATATTTTATTCTAATTTCTTTAGTTAAAAAAAGGCCAAAAAATTAACAGTCTGACTTACACAAAATAGTATTTTTTGCACCAACGAGGTGATTCTCACACAGCTATAAAACTTGGCATTTGTTGACATGGTGTTCAGTGTGTGCTCACAGAACTTGAACAAACTGAAGAAGCGGAGGACGTGCCAGGCCTAAAAAGAAAAAACCACCACCAAAATCTACACCAGATGGACAGTATCTCAAAGTCATGTTTCTACCAGTTTAATTTAATCAAAAATCATCATCCACAGGGACGAGAACTGCCTGCCCCACTCTGGACAGTCTTGTTAAGCAAGAGTCAACTTGATCTTTCCTTTTTTTCCTCTTTGCATCTTCTGCTAAGTTTAGCAGCTGATTTCTTTCCCAGCATCCAAACAGCGAGAAGCACATTGACTGTCTGGGGCAGTTAACCGGCAACGAGAGCAGAAGACGGGAGGAGATGAAAGGAAGAGGAAAGATGGGTGCTCCTGGTTTTTGCAGTTTTCAGGCCAGCTGTTCTCAAGTGGAAGCATGCCGAGGCCTGATCTGACAGCGCTCTGAAATGGTTACAAGCTTGATTCATTACCCCGAAATCATCAATCACAGACCTTAAATGTTTTCCCCTTTAGCCCCAACATCTGCTAGCACACCGGCAAAACAGTCGACAAATAATGGCTGTGATTGCCTCAATTTCATCACCAGTTCCTTGTGGAGGAAGACAAAAAGGATCTGATGTTGCTCTTTAAGAGTTAGAGTGGGATTATGTACCAAAGACGCTGTCGAGCGGATTTGAAAAGCTTCTTGTTGAGTTCAGGAAGAAATCTCTGTGAGAAGAAACTGAGAGGATAGCAGCAGGAGCACATAAACCTCTGTACTCAACTATGATGAGTCCTTCCTCTGGTTAATCAGGGAACACTCTAATTATGCTCTATAAAACAGAGAGGGGGGGTTCTCGTAACTCTTGCTGCAGACATGTGAATAGGAACAGACTTATAAGCAGTGAACAGGAAAACAAGTTTAGCTCTGACTGGAAGCATGACTCATTTTCTGCTCCACAAGTGTTAATGATGGGATGGCTGCCCACTTTGGCCCACTACTTACATGCATCCTATTGGCTCTAGAACAAAGAGAAAGTTGTGTAAATAGAGATCCTGAAGTCTAACCTTTTCTGACCTCGAATAACACGGCGTCCTTGACTGCTTTAGCTCCTCTGGGGCTTTAAATGATTTAAACCAAGACAGAAAGCAACATCTCTCAGAAAGAGAGGGGAGCAGAGGTAAAGAGCCAAGAAGTTGAGCTTTCATAGTCATCAACGGTGCGCCGAGATCCAGCAACAATAACAGACAACAGTGGGGAGCCTGGCTGTGGTAGAGGCAGAAAACAAGGACAGATGTGTCCATAAAGGGAGGAAGCTGCAGGGAATCTCTCTCGTCTTTAGGATGGTTATAATCCATTTATCTCTCTCTTGTTCCCAATTCAGTGTGGCGCTGACTTTTAGTGACGGTCAAACTCATCAGTTAGAAAAATGGAAGTTTAAAAGAAGCTTAAAGGCCACATGTGATGAATAAACTTTTCCAGTTCTAGTGGCTGCTAATGGTTTTTGCAGTCTTTGCATGACAGGGAGACAGGTTAACATGACATGGTTATGAAATCCAAACCAAACAAACAAAAGCACAAGGCTGTAACACTTCCCTTATAAACTCAAGTATGGACTAACGGCTAAAATGTTGATATAAAATCTGCACGAGCAATTAAAGTTCAATTATGTGGTGTGGATTGTTTATCTTTTGACCAAAGGCACCACCAAGTATGATTTTCACTGCCTGAGAGTGCAGAATTACCACAATACATCTGCAGGAATGTTGACATGGCTGCTGATTACCACCAATGACTCGGTGATTGCTTTGCCAGGTGTTGGGATTTCTGGCGGTCTGGACCTCACTTGCTGGCGTGCTCTTCTGCTTTGGAACAAATACTCCCTGGGCTTCGATGTTTTGAGATGTGGCCAGTCGATTTCACTCATATTTGAAATTGTTTAACCATGAATGATGTTGCTACTACTGGTGACACATTATATTTTGTATTTATGCCACATGTTTTCTTACCGAACTTCAATTTTTGTTCGTTTTATGAGAAAAATAAGTGGAAAGTTGAGATGTTTTATTGGTAAAGAAACCGATTAATTAAGAGATCAATTATTAGAGGAAGATCTGAGAATGACAGATGACAGGCGTGTACCTGTGAACATGTCTTGGCCCAATGCAGGAGAATGGCCATCTTTGCCATTGTAGAGGTGCTGCGTAGAGGTGGAGCTCTGGAGGTGCTGCATGGACAGACAGTCGCTCAGGACATCCTGCTCCAGGTGAGGGCAGGGCCGAAGCTGAGAAAAACAAGCAACGATAAGAATAAACTTCAAATGCTTACAAGAAATGATGATGAGTCATTTAAATGGAGAGAACTCCATCTGGTCTGCAAGATTACTCAATCGAAGAACAAGACGACTTCAGTTTGGCCTGTTCGTGGCTTGGACCTCGTGTGTGTGGGAGCGTTCGCTTCATCTTTTTGCAATAATGTGATTGTAATGTTGATCTGAAACAGTAAATCAGCAAATGAGAATAGAATTGTCAGTCAGGGGGAACCGGGGGAAAGATCATATGTTCTTTTTTGAGTCATGCGTTGGCCTTAGACATAATTGGTATGAACTCAGAGCCAATGTGAGATTGCTCCTGTTTCTTTCCCTGCCAACTTTAATGGGGGCAACTGAAGACAGATTTCAGCGAGATCACACGGCACAAAGATAAAATTCAAACCAAATGAAACCTGTGTCAGTTGACAAAATGAGACATCTGCCTTATGGATCGGTGGAATAGCTGAACTCTGTTGTATACATTACTGGATTTCTATGTAATAAAACATTATAGCTGCTGAGGTACACACAGGACTTCTTTACTGTCACCAGGAGGTTTAACTTTAAAAATGCCAAGATGTAAAAAGAGAGAATAGGATAGTATAGCTGACTATCTGATGTAGGCACAAAAACAGACTTCAGACTCCAGTGTATAAAGCAAATATGGCCACCGAGAAATAAGACACTGACTAGAGAACAGTGGAATCGACCTACGATCCTACTGGCATCTGCTTATACACCGTTACAGAGACAAGGATCAATGACAACCAGTTACTGTTAACCTCATCCTCTATTCAACACAACATTTACTGACAAGTTAAAGGAGAGTGATGGCAACGGTCCTGGTGAAGAATCCACTGCTGCAGGAGCTTCATAAACTAAACTGATATTTACATAGTGCTTTTCGGATTATATGGGCCAAAACACTTTACACAACAGGAGAAACGCTTTTTCTGCACATACAACATTTTATGTATTGCACAAACACACCAATAACTTCCTCAGGGTCAACCTGGGGTTTTGGTTGAGCAGGCAACCACATGCTGTAAGGCCAGAAAGCAGCGGCCGGGGTTCGAGTCCAACCCGCAGCCCTTTGCTGTGTGTCTTCCCCCCCCCCCTCGCTCTTTTGTGTCCATCTCCACTGTCACTGTCCAATAAAGGCAAAAGCCCCCACCGACACACACACACATGGGGGGTTTAGGATCTTTGGTTTGGGGAAGAGCAGAGGTTAGAACCACTGACCTTCTAATTATTCTTATTAAACATAATGACCACACAGGCTAACAGCACAGGCTCAGACCTGCTTTGCAGAATAAAAGGGATGCTTTTTTAAAAAATGACTTTTTGGTGTATTTCGATGTTGCAGATTTGCAGCTGCAGATTTTGTCAGTTCCACATCCATGACGTGAATCTCCCACACTGTATAATCTGCACTGGTCACTCCACTGTATTGATATTTATATTTAGAAAAAGTGCAATACTGTAACAACTGCCACAAAAAACAAAAACTGTTGTACTGTTTAGTTTGTACTGCTGCTCATTCCTGTGCAATATCTGTGTGTACATATATTTATATATCTACACATATACATATATTTAGTCAGTTAACTGAAAATCTCTTTTTTCTTTTACTACACCTTATTAATATTTTGCTCTTACTATTTTTCTATTTATTTTTTATTATTTTATTTTATTACATTTTCTTCTACTGTACCATTCTGCTGAGTGATTGTCTGCTGCTCGTCAAATACATTTCATTGCGATGTTGACCCTGTGCTAACTTGCATATGACAAACAAAACTGAAAACTGAAAACACTTCACCAAAGATCTGGGGACCGAGCAAGCACAGTGATGATCTGAGCTTTGTGACATGGCGTGCTATCCTGCAGCCACCAGGAGATGGGCACACTCTGTGATGGGAATGATCAGAAACGATACTCAGGCTGTGGTGACTGAATTTTGGTCACTTGGTACTAAAGTGTGACAAGAAAACACCCCCCCACATCATTAAAACACCATCAGCCTGAATGGCTGGTACGAGGCAGGAAGGAGCAATGCCAAATTTTGAATGTTTTATCTGAATGCAGAAAGGGACACTCATCAGACTAGGCAACGTTTTTCTAATCTCTTGTTGGCCAACTTTGGTGAGCCTGCACAATTTGTAACCTGAAGTTTTTCTCTGACAGGAGCGGTACCTCACGTGGTCTTCTGCTGCTGTCGACCATCAACTGTGTTGTAATGAGCGGTTATTTGAGTCACTCTTGCCTTCCTATCAGCTCAAAGCAGTCTAGTTATTGTCATTTGACCTCTTGCATCAACAGAGAACTGCGGTTCAGTGGACATTCTCTCTTTTTAGAGCGTTCTCTGTAGAGATGGTTGTGTTTGAAAATCTGCTGAATCGACGGCACTGCTAGTTGATTCAGCTACTTAACAGTGAAACTTGTAATAGTAAAACTAATCTCTACAGTTTGTGCAGAGCAACACTTTTTAAATGAAAAATTTGTATTTTATGTTTATACTTGGCCAACATCTATTACAAGCAGGCTTAGTTTAAACCAAAGAGCAGCTGGTGCAACTCTTAAACATTTGAATCCAATATGCGAGTTTCTTTCATCATTAAATGTATATCAAGTTTGTGTTTTTGTAATCGTGCTGAGATAATAACTATGCTGACTAATACATATTTTTCAGTTGAGTGTATAATAATAATAATAATAATAATGAGTGATAACTTCATGATGCCAAGAGGCATAAAACCCTGGCAGTGTTGCTGTGGACCCTCTGAACGACTGAAGTCAAGTGTCGGTACTCGATTTGCAGGCAAGGACAAAGTCATCCAAGATTTTCTTTTATTTTCCAACATCACTGCAACCCTCTCAGTCTGTTTGTCCATCTGTCTGAGTTCTGATATTGTGGTCAGTTTGTGGGTGGAAACCTTGTTCAGCAGCAGTATCATCCCATCTACTCGACTCTCAGATTATTCCCTCAGAGTTCATTCAGAGCAGTAAGTGAACAGATTATTTTATCTGTGGCTTGTATCTTTTAAGATTCTGGCTTTGCTGAAAAGTCAAATCACAAGTGATTTAACTCCTCCCCCAAAAAAGCTAAACCTAACAGCTTTACAGCTGGCATTTTCCATGTTTTGATTTCACATTTAGATGCCGTAAATCAGTAAATGTGTCCTTGTGGGGATTCTTAAGACAGCCCTGCAAAGCATTCATTGCAAGTAATTGGGGCTCTGCTTTCTCCACAGCGACACTCTTAAAGTTTTTTTTTTCCTGCTTTGGGCCAAATCCAAGAGTGGAGTAAGAGCGTTTGTTTGACATTTGTCCATAACATCTGGCCACTGGGGTATTCTGCACTACAGCTTATTAACAATGCTACAAGCACACATGTGTTTCCCTTTACGACACTAAGCAAAGAAACACATCATCCAGCCTGCCACTATCCAGCCCTTTACACAACAATGGGCCCTTTCTCTCTCTTATTTACCCACTTTCAGTTAGGGAAAGAATGGGCTTTTGACCACAAGCATGATGAAATGTGGTCAAACCTGATCTATTGTTGGGGAAATGATTCTAAAGATACTCCACTACACAGCTAAATGCTTCAAAACCCCTCAATTAGAGCAACTTGATGGATCTGCAGATAATGTGACCTAAGAAAGAACAAATCTTGTTAAAGTTGCAGCTCTACCCGAATGACCCGAATAAGGTCATACAGGAAACTAGCTGCAGAAAAAGATCAGCTTGAGCTGCAAAATTTCATTTCATTTTTTGTTTATTTCACACTTGGTTCAACAGTTTCAACAGTTTTATCCTTTCATACACACAAACCAGGCTTTCCCTTGATATAACACGGCAACCATGAGTGAAAAGGAGAAGGAAGAAGAAAATATTCTTATTAAACCCTGCCCCCCCATCTACATTTCAACTAGTGGGCACCATTAACCAATGAACACGTGAGCATTTATCAGACCAAACAGCAAATACCTCAGCACATAATAACAAGGAGAAAATAAATAAATAAAATAAGGAGTTAGCTCGAATTTATTGCGTATTCTTCATATTGATTTATCGTTTTAAACATGTAACACTTTTTAAAACAATGTAAAACTCTTGAGATTATAATGAAATGAAATCAAATCAAATCACTTTTATTGTCACATCACATGTGCAGGTACATTGGTACAGTACATGCGAGTGAAATTCTTGTGTGCGAGCTTCACAAGCAGCAGAGTTGTGCAAAAATACAATAACATATAAAACAAGCAAAATACAAGACTGGCTACATCTGAGACTAATAAATATATGTACAATATATAATAGTATATGCATTACTGGATGTGTATACTAAGTATGTTTTTCTACGTGTGTGTGTGTGTGTGCACATATTTTACAAATTAAATAGAGTAAGCAATAAAATAAAATATATTAAATATACAGAGGTTGGTAGTTGGATATTGTGCAAAACAGTGGCATTAATGGACAGTATGTAGTGCATAATGTTGAAGTTCTAGTAGTGGAGGTGAGGTGTCTATGAAGTGTTCAGCAGTCTGATGGCCTGGAGGAAAAAGCTGTCTCTCAGTCTGCTGGTACGGGACCGGATGCTGCAGAACCTCCTTCCTGATGGAAGAAGTCTGAACGGAGGTTCTGCAGCATCCGGTCCTGAAGAGAGTTCCACAGTCGTATACCCGTAACCGTGGTCCCAGCGAGCTGATGCTTAAAATGATATTTCCTTCAGCTGTCCTCACCTCCCAAACACAGGTAATATATTATTTTTAGCCTTAAACATAATTAATAATGTCCGTAGTTTCACTAAACCTTCTACTTTCAATAGTTTCGATTTTATAAACAATTTATTTAAGAATAAATGAACCATGACGCAGCAGTTTTTAAGTGTCCACTGGCTTTAATTTGCTACTTAAAAATGAAGAAAACAACAAATGTCAGCGGTAACAGCTGCCATACTTTTGGTTCCTCTATGATGTTTCTTTTTAAACCTCTGACTACACACAGGTGTTTTGTCCTGTTTCTCACTCTAGCAGAGAGTGTCTTACCTTCCTACGCACCTGTTGCTCTTTGGCTGAGTGGATCTTGACGTGTTTGCGTAGGGAGCTGGGATCCGTGTAGCGCTTGGTACAACCGGAGATCTGACATGCATACGGTTTCTGGGAGGAGGGAGGAAATATTTCTGTTCAGTTATCAGAGCAAAATGTATAAATGTAGCTTTTCTAATAACAGAGACACAGAATAATATAAGCAGCTAAAAAAGAAAATTGTAAAGGAAAGGAGAAAAATTAACATGCAGTAAATATGAAACTTATGTAAGTAAAGGCAAAGATAAAGTCCTACCTTTCGGCTGAGAAAGACACATAATGTGAGGTAAAAGGAAGACCAGACAAAGGATGAAAAGAAAAGACAATCAGTTGACAAAAATTTGAATACCACAACATCTCTTTGGTTATTAGTTTTTCAGGGTTTAAAGCATCGTATTTCACTTGCAGTTGCACTCACTCAGCAATGAAACCCATCTCTCTTGCTACTGACAGCACCGATACTGCATGATTAATAATGTATAAAGACTTAAAGACAAACACTATAATATATCAGCGCAAGAAATACACTCACTGGCCACTTCATTAGGTACCGCTCGTTAATGTAAATGTCTAATCAGCCAATCACACGGCAGCAACATATAGACGTGTTCAAGACAACCTGCTGAAGTTCAAACTGAGTATTTCAGAAACTGCTGATCTACGGATATTTTCCTGCACAACCATCTCTACGGTTTACATAGAACGGCCTGAAAACAGAAAACATTCAATAAGACACAGAAATGCCTTTTTGATGCAAGAAGGTAACAGTAACTAAAGAAGAACATCTATGAATGCAGATCACATAAAACCCTGAATAAGATTGGCTGAAGCTGCAGAAGACCACACAAGGTGCCCATCAGCAAGAACGAGAACAGGAAACTACGACCTCACTGCAACATTTTGAAGGTAGGGTCAGGATTGATGTGAGCAACCTGAAAGCATGAATCCTTCATGCCTTTATCAACAGTTCAAGCTGGTTGGTGCTGCTGTAAAAGTGTGGGGATGTTTTCTGGGCACATGTATAAATGACACAGCCTATCTAATTATTGCTATCCTGTATATAACAATATTCATGGACCAAAATCTCTGAATTATGTTTCCAGTACTCGAGTTTTATGCCATGAAGAATTAGGTAGTCCAACCCTGTATTAGAAGGCGTACCTAATAAAGTAGCTAGTGAGTGTATAAATGATCTTATTCAACCATGTTGAGGAGTATTCTTAATAATTAAGCATTTATGTGATTATGCACACTGCATACACCGTGATGGAGTACACCACTTTCATTTCACATTTTTCTAATTAAAATGAAGGATGGTGATAGAGATTTTTTTACTTTTTACATTCAGTAACATAAGTTTTACAGACTTTATTATCTCTGCACTTTAACGTTTTCTCTAAGTAACCTGTTGTCATCCCAAAGTGCTTATAATGCCACTCATCTCTGTTTGTTTTGCCAAGAAACCGACTCGATACAGCGCAGAGCGCCGACTTTAAAAGAAAAATAAAAGAGTGAAGTAAAACTTCTGTGTAGGATAAATATAATTAAGCTTTAAAATGATTTTCCTCCTCAGTGTTTCTGGCAGCGCAGCCGACTGGGCAGCACAGTGAAAGCCATCGTGGGGTGTTAATGTGAGGCCATAAGCATCGGGGTCCCAGATTAGCTGTATCGTTTGGACTACTGTGGAAAGAGTGTGCAGTGGAAGAAAATCCCACACTGACAGAATAACACAACGTCTGCATTAACATTTCTACTCTTACTACTTGATAATTTACTGTTACATATAGAAAAGTATTGGTGCACGGCCAGTTCAGTGAAAACAGGGGGAAACATTCTGGTTGCAAAAATACTGCTAAAATTACTTTCTCTGGGAAGAAAATCAAGGGTGACACTGCCTGACCACTGCTACTCTTTTTCTAACCGCTCAGCATTACCAGTGTTCAGTCATGGGAGTAACGGCGTTACTTTTTTCAGTAACGAGTAATCTAACTAATTACTATTCCTATCGTTACAACGCCGTTACCGTTACTAACAAGAAAATGTGGTCCGTTACTATTTTCCAACAAACAGACGGTTGAAGCGGTGTTCAGTTTACCGCGTCTTGTATCAGTTGCACAGAAGTAGCTGTAAGTCATCTGGGCGCTGCAGCTTTAAGCAGCTGCGCGCTCACGCGGATCACTTTCTGCCCGACGATCACTTTTTGGCACAACACCTGAATTTAGTTTTCCTATTTATTTCTAAACAATTAAATTTTAATAAATGGACTGGTACTGACAATCAAATCAAGCACTCATAGCTTATAAGTCTTATTCAGTCAGTCAGACACATTCATGCAGTACTTTTGATGCTTTGGAGGCAACTCTTGGTTCTTACTCCAAAATAATAATAATAATAATAATAATGATGATGGATTGCATTTATATAGCGCTTTACAATTCCACTATTCATTCACACACTGGTGGAGGCAGCTACAGTTGTAGCCACAGCTGCCCTGGGGCAGACTGACAGAAGCGAGGCTGCCATATCGCACCATCGGCTAAACCGATAAAAATACAGACTAGAGGAACAAAAATTGACCCACTGAGCTTTAGCATTGTAGGCTCTACCATGTAAGCCACAGCTGCCCCCTTTATAAAGGGACTTAGGTCCATTATATACAAATTTGAAATACTCCTTCAAATAACTACTCAATAATACGCACACTTACACACCTTGAACTCAGAAATGTAATCAGAAATAAAAATGGTGCAGAAAACCATCAACGTGCATGAAAAGCAGTGGTGCATAATTGTGTATGCTTGGTAGGGAATGGTGGTAGGGTAGATTGATCTGTAATGGCGCAAAGCAGAATATTTGCATCTAAAATAGGATATAGCATAAGTAGAACATAGAAATACATTAAAAATTACACAAAATTCAAGTAAATGAGTACTTAATTACAGTCGCGCTCTCACCCGATGGTGTTGGGCACTGTACGATTAAAAGTGCTCTAGTCCAGCGTTTTACTGGGAGGCACATATTGAGCTGGTTGTTTCAAATCAGATTTAAGTAATCTTTCAAACGCAGACTGTAGATTCAGATGTCAGAAAAAAATTATTGGGATTCGATTTATTGACTTAAAGGGGAAAAAAGTAAAAAATCTCTCCCTTGCAGAGGAAACCCAACGTACTTAAGAATATAATTTGAGCCCAACAACTTCTTTACTCCCTAGCTGTGCTGGCATACGGATGGTGATAAAGTGGGTGGTAAATTGGTGGGGCTACTGAGACATGACGAGTGGCAGCAATGGCTGACTCAACCTTTCCTTCTCGCTCCACGGGTCAGAGAAACAGACAAAGCTCTGTCTGAGCCTGCAGTCCCAATCCAAGCCTGTTATGGCACAAGCTGCAACTTGGCCAAATGACACTGATCGTTTAATGATCTGTGGCATGTCACTGCAAGAGGAAAGTGGGTGAGAATGCCACACGGCTCACTGACTGACAGCAAGTTAAAGTCTAACACTGTCACGATGTGGAAATAGGCATTTGAATGTTGTAAAATCAGAGCAGGGATACCGCACGATATGCACACTCACGCACACTCACGCACACACCGAGGGGACGTTCAAAAAGTCACGTTTATTGTTGGCAGCCGTAGTCTGTGTTTGGTTGTGTATGATCATGGAGACGCCTACTATAGCAGGAACTAAAACAAAGGTGGTTTGGATTACTCTGTCAAGTGTTTACATGTCTGAACGTGGGCAGAAGTTACCAAATGAAATGAAATGAATGAAACTATACAGCGATGTATTATTGAAAGTTCAAAGATCAGTGTGGGCGCTAAGTAGAGGGCAACAGAAGTCGCCTCTGCCCACCTTCACACTCCTGCCAAACAGTCTTTTTTTTTTTGTCCTTTTTTTAAAGCATCCTGATCCATCCTGACATTGAGGCTGATGTGATGCAATTGCAGCACGGTATCCAGATAAGTTCCTCAAACTAATCCCGAAATGGATTTCAAAGAAAGTGAATGACGACATATGCAAACATCAGTAGTTCAGATTAAACACTCTGGTGAAACGCTGGGAGGGGGGAGGTGAGAGAGCAGAGGCTTGGATTCTGACCGTGTCCAGGTGAGTGCGCTGATGCTTGGCCCGATCGCTGGAGTTGCTGAAAGCTTTCTGGCAGCCAGGGTGCTGGCACAGGTACGGCTTCTCTCCTGTGTGGCTCCTCAGGTGGATCTTCAGATTCTCCAGACGAGAAAACGCTTTGTTACAGCCCTCGAACTGTGGAGGAGGGGAGACAGAGATTAGAGCACAAAGGCAACCACACTTTGGCAGGTATGCACAGGACCACACAGGAAAAATAAGCAAAAAGCCCACATGCATGCACACAAAAGAATTGAAATCAATCAGTGTAAAGCTGGCAAACGTTAGAACCGTGTGGGTTGTGTATATGTGTGTGCATGTGACTCAGAGATAAGTTGTTCCAATCTTTCCTTCAGTCTCATAATTACTCACACAGATGGAGCTCACTGTAAACGATATATTAACTAGTTATGGAAAAGAAATTAAATACTTAAAGAAAACCTTTTACGCTGTTACGGTGGGAGATGCTCAGATTAAACACGAGGATAGCAACTTGTGATTCACAAGCTCAGGCTTCAAACCTTTCGGTTACAAGGGTCAGCCAATCAGAAGAAAGTTGGCTTAAATGCAACTTTGCAAACAATTTGTTTTGCACTAAGACTCAATACCAGAGAAATAAAGATTATGTTGAACTCACTCGTGCAAAGCCACTCTAGTAAAGCAGAGAATAAAAGATGGACCTGGGAATTAGCAGAAACTGTCCACTTTAATAATGTGGGTGGTGTAAGTGCGAGCATTTTTTTTCCATGGCTATTATGTTGCAGATCCAAAGACCTTTGTTGAAAAGCACATCCACTTGAAAAACAGCCGCATTCATGGCAGTGCTCTTGTCTCGAGGCTGCCATCTAAATTGCCGGGAAACTGGAGTGTGCCGTACAGCAGCAGTTAATGGGCTGTAATGCATAGCATGAGATAAGTGTGCTGCTGTGTATAGTTCATTAGACTGACAAGTGACAGTGACTGTAAACAAGCTCATAGCCGGCCCAGCTTGGCTCATTTGATCCCGACCACTCTGCCAATGAACACCACAGATTTGTTAACATGTGAATGATTCATGAAGCTTCTCGCATATCCGCTTCTTCTCTTAAGGAGAAAACACAGCAGGCTGGTGGAAAGGGCAGTCCCCATCAAAGCCCCCCTACAGTGGGTGCTGTGTAAAGAGTCACAAAGTCTACTGGTGCACAGTAGAAAAGGAAGTTCAGCTCACTGGTACTTTTTTCTATTTACTTGTACGTACTCTCATGCACTTTACTATCACTCGGTATAAAAGCAAAAGCTGTGTCAGGACTCTTCTTCTGAACAGTCATTTTTCTGTCACCCAGTGAGGGCTTCATTCAAACCATGTCAAGAAAATAAAATTTAAAACACTCAGACTGAGCCAGGAAAGCATCCACTCTGGTCAAAATATGACTATAAAATTCTTAAACCATAAATTTTATACAAAGTCTCATACAGGAAACAATTTTTCCACTCAAAACCAGTTTTGGAAGCGGCCTGAATGGATCTCAACCAAAATAAAACTGCAGCTCCAAGGCTGTTATAGGGGTGTTGTGGCCTTTCTGCTGTATCCATTGTACGCTGACCTTTAGCGAAGCCTCCTGACAACAGGTCAGGTTACAGCTAAGGAGAGAGTGACACCATTTTTCTAACGGTCCTTCAGCTACATCTAGACTCAATACTCATCCCTGGTCTTCTTCATTCACTCGCACAGTGCAGGCAGGACCTTCTATTCACTGAGGCTCCATTTAATATAGGCGAAACCTAAGCCTGACATGGTAGAGCCGTTTTGGGTGACCATGCTGATCTGCAGGTTTATGCATGTGACTGAGCAGCTCAGTAAGAGAGTCCTAATCTGCCCAATTATGGCTACTCAATGCATAGCTCCTCATAAAGTTTGTAAGACCTTTGGGTGGATGACTATGGAAAAAAAGCTTCCTTTCACCTTAATAAGTTGCATTTTTCCATTTGATTTCCATCATAATTTGCAAAATAAAAATGAGACTGACTAAAAAATACTGAAAGTTGGTAAAAAAGAAAGAAAGATGGGACTATTAATGCCTTAAAATTGTATTTTCTCACCAAACTGTAGCTGGATATTGGTGGCACTATGATACCTGAGAAACAGTTTCTCATCAGTTTTCAACAATCAGCAATTAAAATGTATTGAAGTTTGAAATGAAGCATTTCCAGCCAAGGTCTGCATAATCTGTACTCGTCTCATTGTGCTGTAAATGGATAAAACTGAGGCCCTCAGGTTAAGTCAACACGTGCCAAAGGGCCCATAAACAAATTCATTCAGTCAAGCTGCAAACTCTGGTTTAAAAATGCAGCTGATAAACCGTCAACGTCTGCGCTTCCTTGTAAGGCCACCTCCAGCTGGATTCAAATGTGACTCAAAGTTCATAGATTCAACTTTACAGCAGAAGTAAACAAGTTCATATGTTTGTTCAATTCTTTGACAAATATGAAGGAAGGATACTGGCTTTCATTAGGTGAGTTAAAACTAGAACATCCATGACATAGTAGTTCATCCGGCTCTTGTACCATTCACAACTCACAGGTTAACGTCCATAAAACAACACATATGTGCTTGACTTGAACACAGCTTGTGTGAAGACCCATTTGGCGATCATTGTGTGCAAGTTTAATTCAATTCGGACCTTTCTAAAGACGGAGTACTGACTCTTGTGAATTCAGGATGGATGGACCCGTTGCCACAGAATGAGCTTATCGGCACTTCAGCCAGATCCATAAAGGTGAGGCTACTTTACACTCCATGGATGCACCTCACAGCCAAATGTGCTCTAGTTAGCTGATACAGCCACTTTTGGCACGGAAAAATTAAAATGATGTAAAACAATCGTAAAATGATAATACACAACAACAAAAGCCCAAACATCTCTGTCAGCACGGTAGCATGTCATGGCGATGATATGGTGCTTAAAACGAGAGCTTCTTTAATAGTATGGAAGTTGTTTGGCTACAAGAGGCTAGATCTCCAACAAAGCACAGTAATAAAATATGGAAGAAAACGGTTACTGACAAAGGTGGAAACAATAAAACTTGAAGCAAAAACACACCGTCGAGTACAGCCGGGCTGTGACAGCTGGAAAGGAGGAGATGCTAGCAGCTGCTGATGTGCAACCCAAAAGTAAACAAATGACTCAAGAAAGGTCTCGCAGGAGACTCGCTGGTTGCACTCCATATGACAGGAAGGTTATTGATGCAACTACATGGAGCTAAAAGAGGGCTTTAAGCAGCTGAATCAAATGTTCGACCCCAGACAACATCCCAGGAATTTTTCAGTTTCCATTTTTTATTATGTGACAATATTGTACAGGTTTCTGAAGCGTAACAAGGTGGTGACTGTTAGCGTGTTAAGCAGTTATGCTGCACTTTTACTTAATTTCCAGGGAAAAACACCACCTGGGCTACGTTCGTGTTTACCTTTGACTCATCCTGTGTCACGACTATTGTACTGTATTGCTGCTGCTGGCGCCTTGACAGATTCACACTTCGAATGAGGTCGTCTATCATCAGCAGTTCATTGGAAAAAAGAAGGATAGAAAATGCCCTTTGCACTAATAAATGCTGCTGCCTGCAAGCCAGTAGAGTATTTTTCAGCATTTTTCTTGTTATTTTCATACATACCAGTATTGCAAATTTCCTACAACTTTGAGGCTATATTGCTCTCCCCTAACAGCCATAATGCTAAAATCAAGGCTTCAATATTTTTTATTTCCAGCATATAAATAAACTTGCTTCAAGTTCTTCATAATTTATCCCTGACTGCTGAGCTTCGATTGGGTAAAGATAAGCTTGTAAAGCTGAAATGCTATCAAAGTAAGCATAAAGAAATGCAGAAAATTTGCAGTACGATCACAGCTAAACGTCTGCTTGCCAGACTGAAATGAAAGATGAGGAAAAATATTCACAATTCCTCAACACTACACAAACACATGCTGTCTGGGGTTCAGCATTTAGCTATAAAAATGTCTTAAAGAGTTCACATCATACAATGCTGTAACGCGGGAAAACATTATTCTCGAGTCATACCAGGCAAATGTTTTGGATGAAAACAAGAGAGGCAGCAACGGTGGGAAAAGTTAATAAAATCTGTGCGAATGAACATCCACGCTGCCGTACCACTCGCGACAGACAAGGTCTCTGCTTACTGCTGAAACACGGCGCCGGGCGTTCGAGTTCGGAAAACAAAAATGGCTATTATTGACGTGCCAAAAGTTTATTTATGTATAAGGGAATAATCCCTCTTTCACTCCTTTTTTTCTGCAATATAAATTTGAGGCTGAATTATAGTTAGGGGTCCGCTGGGGAAACCATGTTAATCGTGTAAAGCACATTATTACTGCGGGATCACCACTTGCAGTTTGCATGGAGACAGCCAGAGTATGAGGTTTTCCTGCCTGCTGAGAAACCAACAGGCACTGTCACCTCTAAGCATGAGTTTGTACCAGAAACCCTGCATGAAAACGTTGTGCTAAAGTAAGACGTTAAAGCGTGGCCGATCTACGGGTCCAAATGATCCCTGTCGGCTTCATTTCATTTGGTGTTTAAATGAAATACATGTATACTGCTTGTGTTGAATGTCCAAGGGGATTAAAAGTGTTCACGTGGACATATTTGGTCTTATCGTGGCTATTTTATATGTCATGCTGTGTGTTTTCATTTCCAACTGAAGATATATTGTACATCAGTGGGGTCCTGCATCATCCATGAGAAGCTGACTAAAACACACATAGCAAACACACAGGCTGAAGTGGTATAAACAGAGAGCTCTGGTGGCTGAGGCTTCTAACACAGGGTGGATTTTACCTTTGATGTTATCTATGCAAACACTTTAGGCGGAGCTAATCACATTAATTGCTTTAAACATGTTTAGTTTTCCTCTCTGAAAACCTCTGTCTAAGGTAAACCAGCAGATGACCGCACGAGGGGAGCGGCGCTGGCAGCGTGGTGGGATTTGAGCCCCATTTGACACCATCTCACCATTGATTTGGGGGGTGCTCAGTAGCACAGTAAACATTGGCCATGACAGCGGGGTCCTGACACGGCTGAAGGGGGCGAGAGCGGGTTGAAAGGGTGGACAGGCCGCCGATCACAACAGACAGATTATGGAC